GATTGTATGAAGATGGGCATATGCCATACAGTGTGCTATGAGGGATATTTTTCATGGACTCTTACATGTATATCGAATTCCAGCTGCCCAGGGTTCTGTTACTTGCATGCCAATGTGTACACATGACCTCGGTTTTTCGTCCCATCAGACTATATATTGTCCCTTTCCAGGCCTTCTGTCCTGCACCACTGACAATGGGGAACCACACAGGAAAATCCTGATAAACATGCTCTGCCAACACCAGGATCGAGCCTAGGTATTACTTACTGAGCCACCGTAACTCCCAGTCAATTAACTAATCCTATGCTACAACACCACCAGTCAATCTGGAAATTAAAATTTCTTAAAAAATATATCTGGTTTAGAAAGTTCCTTGAGTCTAGAATAAATAATTCTATGAGATTCCACAATAATTTAACCAGTTTTATTTATTACTATTATTAGAAAATATCTGGGATATCTCCTTTGAAGTTGGTGGCAGAGTGCTGAATCATTAACAATTACATCCAGAGTTCGATCCTGGTATTAGCTGAAATACTTTCTCAGAATTTTCAAGCCTTGCAAGTGGTACAGGCAGAGGGTCTAGCAAGGAAAAGCAACTAGACATTTGGATGGAACAAAAATATACCATTTGCAGTATGTTAAAGATCCCCTGACAGTTGGAAACAGAAATAAAGAAAAGATGGTCTGTATCACGAGGAGTGTCTGTTCACAATTTCCCTCATAGTACACTGCATTAGCCTTGTTTGTGCAGAAAAATAAGACATTGAACCTCATTTCATTTCCTCCTTTAAAGTAAACACAATACATGTATTACCTTCCAAGAGAAATACGAATGCATCGAAAAGTAAGATAAGATTAAGAAATGAAATGAAAAGAGGGGGTTTAACATCCTACTGTTCTGCTCCTATTGGGCTATTGAAGATGGGATAAGATTAAGACCTTGCACCTATGTATATCAGCCATCTCATTTTGTTGTAAATGTCAATTAGTCTACATGGTGATATTTTTCATCTATCTTTGAATATAACAATTTATGTACATGTTTATTTAATTAAATTCCTGCTACATGTACATAGTCTTGAAATGACATCTCACACAGTGTTGTTTATTGTTAATAAATTTAGATAACACAACAGAAATCTGCCATTCAAGCAAAATAAAAAAAAAAGGGAATCATCTTAAAGGCATGAATTAAAGTGATTCTTTCTGCTACTTATACATGTACATGCAGAAATTGCTGCACATGTTTACAAGGAATAGGTTTGTCTGCCTTACTCCACCACTGTTGAAATAAAAAATAAACTTGGGCTGGTTGGTTGAGAATAATATAAAGTCTTGAACAACTGGTAAAAAAAAATTCAAAATATTTGTGAGAGTCATATCTTAATATAAAATGAAATGGAGTATATAGTTGGTGAATTTATCACTGAAGGTCATGGTTTATTAATTACATTGCCTACATGCAGATAATGATTTAAACCAGTTTTAAATTTGAATATGAGGACAGTTCTATGGTGTACATGGTCAGTAAAACCTGAGCCTATAATAATACACAGAACATTGAGTGTAAACTTATAGGTGTGGCCCATTTGTTGAACATCTGGCTCAGTCTTCCGTTTTCTTTCTTTTATCAGACAGCTTTTATTAAAACCAAAAGTTTAGAATATTAACGGTAATAGAAATGGAGAAATTAAAAATATGGCCAATTTATTTTTATTTACAACATATGATATGTAAAATGAGAAGATGAATTAAATACACAGATGATTATAGAAGGAAAATGTCAAGTAATACAACGTGAATAATATATGTAGAGCTCTTTTAGAATATAAGAAATGTCATTAGTTTCCTAGGAGACACTTGTATGTGATATCTCCTTAACTAGAATTGGACATAAATCCCCCAAAAGAAAAAGAAGCCTTCACTTTTAAAGAAAACTATAAAAGTATTTCTTACGTCTATCTTATGGTTTATATTTATTTTGATCTAGTTACCTGGTAAACAGGTATCTTTATTTCATTTGTTTTTTATACTCTGCATAATAATGATCTAGCATATACAAATAGTGGCCATTCACTGAGTTATACTGTTTAAAATACACAAATAAGAACACAATACAATCTAATTAAATTGAGTCTGATAAAATATAAAATACAGTTAATACATAACAAACAAAGACATAAAGTGAATTGAAAAACATGTTATTTTGATCTGAACGACATTGTTTGAATAACATCTTATCGTACTACAAATTCTCCTATTTCTAGAAGTTCATCTTATCGTACTGCAAATTCTCCTATTTCTAGAAGTTCATCTTATCGTACTACAAATTCTCTTATTTCTAGAAGTTCATCTTATCGTACTGCAAATTCTCCTATTTCTAGAAGTCTATCTTATCGTACTACAAATTCTCTTATTTCTAGAAGTTCATCTTATCGTACTGCAAATTCTCCTATTTCTAGAAGTTCATCTTATCGTACTGCAAATTCTCCTATTTCTAGAAGTTCATCTGATCGTACTACAAATTCTCTTATTTCTAGAAGTTCATCTTATCGTACAGCAAATTCTCCTATTTCTAGAAGTTCATCATATTGTACTGCAAATTCTCCTATTTCTAGAAGTTCATCTTATCGTACTGCAAATTCTCCTATTTCTAGAAGTTCATCTTTTCGTACTGCAGATTCTTCTATTTCTAGAAGTTCATCATATTCTCCTATTTCTAGAAGTTCATCTGATCGTACTACAAATTCACCTATTTCAAGAAGTTCATCTTTTTCTCCTATTTCTAGAAGTTCATCTGATCGTACTACAAATTCTGTTTCTAAAAGCTAACACCCACTACCCAGTTATTTGTAAAACAATGCGGATAACTCATAAAAAATGTCTGTGTCTTGAGGAACATGTATTTGGCATACATCCACTTTGTGTACAAATAGTTGTTTGTTCAGGTATTTAGTGATGACATTCTCTCCTCCACTCTGAAGAGCTGCAAATCATTTTTATTGTCATTCTATTGACAGAGACAGCCAATGGCCGACAGAGAATCTTAATGTTACATATCACTGAAGATTTGCCGGGTTTTTATCTGAAAAAAAATACAGATTAACTGAACAAAAACACTACATCATGTATTTTCACAGAGCAAAATTTAAATCTTTTTCCATTTTTGTACACTTCTGAATTTGGTTGGAACAGTTTTTTCTTAAACCATCAACCCATCCGTCGTGAGAGTGTACTGTTAATAGTTTTATTTCTTCCTACACAAAACTCGATATCTACTTGATAGTGTACTGTTAATAGTTTTGTTTCTTCTTACAGAAAACGCAATATCTTTTTGATAGTGTACTGTTAATAGTTTTGTTTCTTCCTTCAGAAAACGCAATATCTTTTTGATAGTGTACTGTTAGTTAATAGTTATATTTCTTCCTACAGAAAACTCGATATCTATTTGATAGTCCATAGTTTTATTTCTTCCTACAGAAAACTCAATATCTTTTTGATAGTGTACTGTTAATAGTTTATTTCTTCTTACAGAAAACTTGATATCATTTTGATAGTGTACTGTTAGTAGTTTTGTTTCTTCATGTGACAGAAAACTCAATATCATTTTGATAGTGTAGGCCTACTGTTAATAATTTTATTTCTTCCAACAGAAAACTCAATATCATTTTGATAGTGTACTGTTAATAGTTGTGTTTCTTCATGCAACAGAAAACTGGATGTCAACAGATTCGAATCCTCCAAAACAAATGAAATTGACAATTTTATTTGCTCCCAAAAAGAGGTCATGCCATTTTGAATTGGCTTTTACAATTGAATTTATTGATGTGTTACTATTTGTGCAAACACCGATGTCTTCTTTTATTTGTATCGTATATTATCATTAAATATCATTCCAAACGCCAAATGTATTTAATAAACATTATTTGGGTGTTGATTTACTTGAACATATATTAGCCCATTGACATCCAGTCTACTCACATTAGCAAAATCAGACTGAATTCAACTCTAAAACAAAGAGATTTAAAATCAAACTCATCAGAGTCATGATTTAAGGATGAATGCCTTTGGTGTACAATAATTCATATAATTATATGTACCAGTATTTCAAATATATTGTCGGTGCAGTTTTCATTTTTTAAAATCTATACACAATTCCCAATCTCTGTACCTTCCAATTTTCTAATTCAATCAAATGAGATCACCAGATCCCCAAATTTCACATATGTGAGCAGACTAGAGTTATTGCCCTGGATCATTACTAAAAATCAAGCTTGAGACATTAAGTTAACTAAAATGACAATTTTCTAATTCGATCAAATGAGATTACTACATGTAGATCCCCAAGTTTCACAGACAGGAGCTGACTCGAGTTATTGCCCTTGAACACTACTAAAAATCTTGCTTTTAGAGTTTATACACATTGTTCATGTTGATAAGATGTTTTCCGGTATCATGAACATCTATAGTTTCTGTCTGATTATCAGTACATATTTTTTATTGTCAATCTTAGCACTGGGAAGAACTAGAAAGAAAATCAAATTTTAATTATTTATGATTGCTTCTTGAATTGTAAATTCTCCCATTGCCTACAAACAACTTTTGTGGACTGCTTGGATGACTTAGCTGTTGTGGGGTGGCCATATATTTCATTGCCCAAACAAACTTTTCCTGCATCATCCCATATATTTATATTTGAGCCTGCGATATGGCGTTTTACAACTAAATATAGTTTCATGCACGTTCTCGTATTTATACACAGCACAACGTTTGAGTGGATGTATATGTTCAAATATTTAATTTAAAACATAGAGATGAAAAGAAAGTTAATTAAACATTGTAATAGGTGATAAGTTATGTTGGTCAGGTAGAGGCCTGGCTGTTTAAATTTTATGACATAGACAATCAACTGTGTGTCACAATCAACAATAGTCGCAGCGACGTAGTAATGTATTTATTTGTCAAACGCTATTTATTCTCTCTCTCTTTGTTTACAGATATCTGCTTCGAACCCTGGCTCAACAAGAAAGATGGCCAACAGGGAAAGATGATGTCAAAACGAGCTGAGTGATGCAGAAATATCTGGCAAGGAAATCTACGAATCTTGTGAAATTTCGATGTGCTTATTTTGTGTAACCTGTTTGAACATCACGTACGCCTATTACATCACAAACGTAACCACACCGATTACAAAGACTTGAATATATTTGCCTAAGTTTTAGGAAGTGTTTTTATAAACAAGTTGTTTGACAGAACAAGGCAAAGGTCAGACATGTGAGTTATTGTCTATAAATTATGTGCGAATATTACAAAGATTGACGTAAAATTAAGACTTGTTACACCCAGTAATTTTACATTAAATGAATCACAGTAAAAATGTGCACATTTTTGGCATATTCATGCTAATTTGTACAGAAAAAAACTCCTTTAAAAAGTTTGTGAGTATTCCTAAATTGAAAGATTTTTTTTAAAACTTTTAAATTGGCAATTCAATTTGTTCACATATTTTGATATAACATTTTAATTGTTTATTGATTGCAGGTGACGAATTGAATTTTAATACATGGTTATCAGATATATTTTTGGAGGTGTAGTGAAATTAAATATTCAGTAACTTGTGTGTAAGACACACCACAGTATGTGTCAAAATTTATTATAATTGAAAGATAAAGGTTTATAATTACTTGAGGAAGACGTAAGCAGTAAAGATGGCCAGTCGGAGATTAAAATTTCAGTACTGTAAAGTTATAATTGCGACCTCCATGGTGTGGGTCATGGTTGACATGTTCTTGTTGATGTATTTTACGGATTGTTCTGCAATGTCAAGCGCAGATTGTCAGCGGAAAGCTAAAGAGGAGAATGGGAATCCTCAACCTCCAAAGGAACCGGTTGGATTTTTAGAAAAAATTATACCACAAGGTTAGTACTGGTTGTTTTACTTAAATTATATCTGTCTTAGTAGATCATCAAAAAATAAACCTGATGTCCTGCATACAAATTGATGAGTGCATCATCATTAGCATCATCATCATCATCATTTTTGTGCACATTTCGCCTGTGACTGCCCTTTGAATGCAAAAAAGAAGTTCAAATGTATGTTAAAATACTGAGCAAACTGAACCCATTCATATTGCATATGTAGCCTAGAAATAAATTAGTGCATCTCATCATTCAAAGCAAGAAAATAATTGTGTTAGTCTGTACATGGTTGATCATGGTAGTCATACATGTCTGTGACTGTAACATATAGTTACTACATGAAGCTGTAGTTTTTCATCCTATCCGAATAACTAGACACTGTCCTTGCCAGGCACGCCATCCTACACTGCTGACAAGGGGAAACTACATGTACATGTATGCTGGAAAATGCCAGAGAACTTTCTAGGCCAACACTGGGATCAAACCCTGGTCTGCCTGGTTAGGGTGCTAGCACCTAATCACTGAGTCACCACAGCTCCCCAATTTCTAAAGACCCTAGCATACAAACAAATATACCATGTTTGTCTCAAAATACTGTTAGTGTCAATTGGACATGAAAGTTAAAGCCCTCTCTCTCTCTCTCTCTCTCTCTCTCTCTCTCTCTCTCTCTCTCGGCTAAACAAAGATGTGCAATGTCATTGGTCAAGACTTTACATGTAGAATACAATAACTGTTCAAATTTGGTGAATATCTTGAGTTCGATGATGACCATTTTCTGCTTAGGCAAAACGGATAACAGACAGGGGAGGTTGGATGGCCAAATGGTTAGCATGTGTGCACCGTATCATAAGGTCTGTCATTGTGTCAACTGGCGTAGTTTTGATTCCATGGTTGTAAGCGAATTATTGAAATAAAATTATTGAACCATGTGTTAGTCCCGAAATGACCTAGCTTGTGTCGAGTGGATGTTAAGCCCCATTTTTCTCTCTCTCTTGATCTCTCGCTTTCGAACAGGATATCTTTTTTCTAACTAAACGAGATTGGGGTAAGGATTAAATGAATGTCAATTGAAACTATGGAGGTTTAGTATTTTGTTAAAAATATCTACAGATTGTCGATTGTTTAAATTAAAAGGAAGAATATTCAATAATTTTGGAGCTTGTGCACTTAAAGATCTGGTTTAACAAGGAAAGGTGCTGAGAAAGGGCTACTGTGGAAACTTGAATTATTGTCTCAGAAAATTAGATAACCAACATTACATTAAAGCACTTGCTGTAATATATGTGTAACATTCTTGCTGATCAGTGGACAGTGGTGTAAATAGTTGAATCAGTATGTTTAAATAAAAAGTCCAGCATGCAATCTACTTCAAGCTTTGAGTTCATCTTGACAGACTAGTGGTATCTTAACTTGTCACTTTAGAGTTATAAACTCTATAATTACTTCAACAATGTCAGCTATTGAGTCACGTTTGATCAAAAAACTTTCAAACCAGAAAGTGAATATATTATTATTGCCATTAAATTCACTAAATCTTCAAGAAAGCTGGGTTTTGTTTTTTTGTGTTCTAAATTTTGACTACTTAATGTGAAAATGTCTGAAATATGATTCAGAGCAGACTGCAATGATTTGAGAAAACTTTTTGTATTGAAAGTGTGTGGCAGTGAGGTCCAGGGTTCGCTCCCAGTGTTGGTCGAATAAGTACCTCCCGATTTACCAGTGTGGTTTCCCCTTGTCAGTGGAGCAGAACACAGCGCTTGGCAAGGACAGTGTCTAGTCATTCATATGGGTCAAAAACTCAGGCCATGTGTACTCAGTACACTTTAGCGTGAACGTAAAAGAACCCTTGACATTTGGAATGCAAAGTAAGAATAGGCCATAGCGCCACCATCTGGGTAAATTTCCCCTATACATGTAACAGACTGCATAACATATGCCTGTCTTCATTAGCTCGGTTGGTGCAGAAAAGTAGGACGTTAAACCCCCATTTCATTTCATTTTGTATTGAAAAAATAGATTAAGCTGCACTTTTCCGTAAATACCATCTTTCAACAGAGAGTTGTCAGTGAAACTACTAGATTCAAGTGATGAAATGAAACACGAATGATTTTAAACTTAAAGTAGCTAAGTCTCTAACTCAATATCATCCAAAATCTTTGACACTGAAAACATGAATTTTTTGTCAATTTAAATCAACATTGATGTTGTGATCTTACCGGGAAATGATGGGCTTCTGATATCCAATATTTAAGACAAAATAAACAGTTTATCATTGGTACACGAATCATGTACATGTACCATAATACGTTACAGCGCCATTTGTAACAAGGGACTCGAAGAACGAGGCTAGAGATATTCTACAAGTCATTTCAAACGGTGACATCATCGGTGTAGACTGCAATAACTAGACGCTAGAGACTGCCATTTGGTTGAGACTTCTGTTGTATTTCGCTGAATATAACTGATTTGAAATTAAGAGTAAAAACGGTAACAATTGAATGTAAATCAGTTTATATACATTCATACTACATTATTATATGCGTTGCAACCGATTTGTGTCAATTTCTAGGTGCCAAATATTAGCGATTTAGCTCCTTTAAAGTATAATTTATTAAAATACGTATAATAACCTTTTACACAAATACGAACAGTAAACATTGAAAAATATTGATAACAATAAAGTATAAATAACTCTTCTCAACTAATTAAGAACCAAGCATGATGTCATCGCCATCATCTTGGAAATGAGATGTCATATTGAAAATCGAAGTCCAATTGTCCAAGGACCAAGCCTGCCAAGTTTCATGTCGGTCGTACTTGAATTGACTGAACCTTAGGATTTTTCCGTAGAGTACAGTGTAGTTCCTCCAAGAACAACATCAAAATCATTCAGACAACCCCCACCCTCTCCCTCTCCACCCCTCAAACAAAGAAAACAACAAAAATAACAACATGCAATCAGTAGGGTCGCCTGTCCAACCTCGTGAATTTTCTCCAAGTCCTCCAGTTTCCTCCCACTGCTAAAGACTCCTATGCGCAAGTGTATTATTGAAATAAAATTGAACCATATGTTAGTCCCGAAATGACCTACTTTGTGTCGAGTGGACGTTAATCCCCAATTTTCTCTCTCTTTCCCTCCAGCCTTTTCTATATCGTAACTTCCAATATTATATAGTGGTCAGTTTCAAGATCCATTTTACTACCAACATCATTCTTCAAATGACGTTTTATGTGTACGCTTATTCCGTCGATTATGAATACCTTAACAGTTTATTTAACATTTCAGGATTAATGCCAAAGCGAGTTCCTACTGGTCCCGGAGAACAAGGACGAGCTGTGGTTGTACCAGATTCTATGAAAGATGAGGCGAAGGAGAAGTTTAAAATAAATCAGTTTAATTTAATAGCCAGTGATTTGGTATCATTAAACAGATCACTACCAGATTATAGAATGGATGCGTAAGTCCTGTTATTTTTGTTTTGACCAATACCACATTTTTGTCTGTCCGTCTGTCTGTCCATCACACTTTTTGGGACACAATAACTCTTTTTCTAATTGAGCTAGAATGTTCAAACTTGGTGTAGGTGTTTATTAGATCAATGCCTTGATGAAGTTCGAAGATGAGCAGATAAGCAATTTGATTGGTTGATGCTTTGGGACACGATAACTTGAGTTCTAATGAAGTGAGAGTGGTGAAACTTGGTGTATAGTTTTGATTGGCTGAGACTTTGGAACACATTAAAACTCTCCTTCTAATTGAGCTAGAATGTTCAAACTTGGTGTAGGCGTTCATTAGGTGAATTCCTTGATGGAGTTCGATGATAACATTGTCTGCTTACGGTAAGCAGAGATAAGCAATCTGATTGGTTGATGCTTTGGGACAAGATAACTTTGATTCTATCTGATAGAGAGTGATGAAAGTTAGTGTATAGGTGATAATTTGTTTGATTGCTTGATACTTTTGAAAAAAATAAATGTGCGAATAATGAATATGTTTCATCGATTTATTTTGGGATTTCAGCGGGGGACATCAGCCTCACTGTTGGCTTGTTATAGTTACAATACCACATTTTTAAAGTTACAATACCACATTGTTATGGTTACAATACCACATAGTTAGAGCTATGATATCACATTGTTATGGTCACAATACCACATACATGTAGTTAGAGCTACAATACCACATAGTTAGAATTACAATACCACATTGTAAAAGCTATAATAATACCACAATAGAGCTACATTACCACATAGTACAGCTCGAATACCACATTGCAATAGCTACTTTACCACATAGATATAGCTACAATACCACATAGTTACAGCTACAATATAGGTATAGCTACAATACCACATAGTTACAGCTACATGTACCATACCATATAGTTAGAGCTACAATACCACATAGTACAGCTCGAATACCACATTGCAATAGCTACTTTACCACATAGAGCTACAATACCACATAGTTAGAGCTACGGAATTGCAAATTTTACTGAAAATGAAATGAAGGTTTAACATCTTATTTTTCTGCACCAAATAGGCTAATGAAGACAGGCATATTCCATGCAGCATGCACCAAGTAGGCTTATGACGACAGGCTCATGCAGCCTGCTATTAGGGAAATTTGTCCTGACTATCCAGGGGTCTTTAACATGTGCCTAGGTCAATTTTTGATCCTATCCAAACTACTGGACACTTTTTCCTTTAGTATTCAATATCAATTAAAACAAATAGAATTTGGTCTGTTTTTGTCTCTTGTGTGAAGTATTTACCAATTAAAAATCTATGCAATCAACCCATATTAAAAAATAAACGGATAAAAAGAAAATATATTGATTTTAAAGATTGTTAGTTTCTAGAAGTCTGAAAATACTTGAAAATGATACAGAAATTGACTTTCGAATTGAATCAAAGAGCATTCAAATATTTGAATAGTAAAATCAGCATTTAGTGAGACCACTACTCTTGAAAAAGGTTGCCCCAACCTAAACAGTATTGCCTATTATGTGGATCGTCACAAAACTGTAGTCCATGTATACACAGACAATTTGTTTATTGAGACATGCTGTCGTTGTTGGTGTATAATATCTTTCTTCAAAGGTTAAACTCTAAACAGGTATGTCAGAGTTTAAAGAAAAAAGCAATAACAGAATTTAACCACGATGCAACTTTTTAAACAAGTCTTAAGATAAATGTTTATTTCATCAATATTCTACTTGACTTTACTTTAAAACAATAAATATTGGAAAAAATAAATAACATGTTGTCAAAAAATACAACTTGCTGGGGGTTTTCTAAAGGGACGTTGTCAGGTTTGATGACCATAAGATATTTACCTGTTGGCATCCAGTACTACAGGTATATATAAGTTTAGTGAAAATAATAATCATTCTTTCGTGTAAATTTACTAAATACTACATCAGGTCTTGCCCCAAAATCAGTAATATTGAGTGGCTTGTAATGTCGTACTATTCTTCACCAATCGGGCTAATAAAAATATCCATACACCATATTGACCCTAACCCTAGCCATGCCAATGCGTAGTCTTATTTCATTTTCCAACTACCAGGAGATCTTTAACATGTACAAAATAGTTTTGAGAATTGGCTGAATCCATGGTCTTCCATAGAAATAAGGAAGAAAAACATGGATGCTATGTTTCGCTGGAATATGATTGTTGAATTGATATCTCACAGTCTTGGTGTTTCTCTACAGAGCAAATTTCATGTATTAAAAACAGGGCTGTAATATTTGACAGCATCCATTTAACCATTTGAAATATTAGGGTATAAAAAAAAATGTTAGCAAGGTCAAAAGGTCATGAGTGGCTTTTGTTTTTAGTGGCTACTGGTGTTTAGATGTCTGCTCTCGTCTGCCATGTTTGTTAGAGATTAAAATCATGGATTTACTCAGATGTACTTTAGAGACTGATCGGAAAAATTTCTTTTCGTGTGTTATTCCATTGCTGTGATTTCAAACATTTTTGTTGTAAAATTTTGCAATACAGAAAGACACAAGATTTGTAAAAAAAAATACAAACATGATGTTGGAAAAAACAGGTGGTATAATTACTGAAAGCGAGAGACAAATGGGGTTTAACATCTACTCAATACAAACTAGGTCATTTCGGGACTAACATGGTTCAATTTTATTTCAATAATTTGCTTGCGCTTAGGGGTCTTAGCAGTGGGAGGAAACCGGAGGACCAGGAGTAAACCCGCAAGGTTGGACAGCAACCCTACTCCTTGTCACATACAACCAGGGAAGCAAAACCACGCCAGTTGACTCAATGACAGACCTTCATATACAATGCACATGCGCTAACCTTTTGGCCATTCGGCCCCACATATAATGACAGGATGAGTCTCCGATATATTTTACTGAATAAAACTAGATATTTCTGTGTGAATGAATTTATTATAATCCCCCATTTTTGTGTAAATATCAGAAGCTCTGTGGATACTGTTGTGAAGAAATACAATCTGTCAATTTCATTGTGCTTGTTGGTCTTAAAATTCCTAAGGGAGCCACAGTTAGAGTGGTTCAGGGTCAGAAAATCCACCCAACAGACAATATTTGGGGTTTATTTTAACATTATATGATAAGGCTTACCATAAAAATTTCATTCATCACAATAAAGGTCTGGCCATGTTTGATTTTTGAGGATATAACCATCTGGGCTTGTGCTTTTAAAATATTGAAAAAATGACCGGCTGCCATTCTCAAGGGAGTTAACCCTTCATGACAAAATGAGTTATGGTTCTTAGTTACATAAAGTTTGAAACTTTGCTCTGGAACGCATAATTAATTTGAAATTCTTCGTTTTTTTAACATACATGTAGGTCCCAATGACGATAAATTTAATGCTTTTAACCCCTTAGTTTTTGAACACAAGAGACACAGAGAGAGAAATGAAACTAAATAACTCCAAATATCAGTTACATATATCAGTTACATTTTCAGCCAAAATGTCCCTCATAGCACTCTGTATGGAGTATGCCCTTCTTCATTAACACAGTCAGAGCAGAACAGTAGGACATTAAAACCCATTCGTCTTGAATCTACAAATCTACAATACGTTAGAAATGTTCAGATGTTTCTACAAAGCTTCAAGCAACGATTAACAGATTGCTGTTCACAACAGTGGTCACCCAATGTATCTTCCAATTCTAAACTTGAACAGTATAGCTATTTTAAGTCCATACTCGAAAATGAGAAATATTTGTCAGCGATTTATAATAATAAATATCAAATAGCATTAACCAGATTTAGATGTGGGAACCACAACTTAGCACTAGAAACTGAAGATGGTATAATATAGATACATGTAGATCTGACAGAACATGTAAATATTGTCTGGATAATCTAGGCTGCTCGACTATCGAAGATGAAAATCATTTCATTGTATCTTGTCAAATGTATAGAGACCTTAGATCACAACTTATGCCATGGATCAACTCATCCTATTGTAATAACACTTATTTGTATATAAAAGCTATGTCAGATATAAACATTGTAAATAATGTAGCAGAATATATATTTAAGGCTAACAGCATAAGAACTAGTTATCTGTTGTAATATAATTATGTTTTATATAGTTGATATATTCTATTATACTGCACTACTATGTACTATGGGCCAGAAGCCTTAAATACTGGGGGGGGGGGGGCTTGGATGTCTGTCATTGAGTCAACTGGCGTGGTTTCGATTCCCCGGTTGTACGTGACAAGGAGTAGGGTCACCTGTCCAACCTTGCTTGTTTTCTCCATATGTTGAACCATATGTGAGTCCTGAAATGACCTAGTTTCTTTCGTTTGTTAAACCCCATTTCTCTCTCTCTATTACCAGGCCACTTCTTACTTGAAACAATGAGCCATTGTTACTCATTTCTAAATGGCCCCAATATTTTGTTTTAAAGCTTTTAAGACAAGGTAAATAAAACATTTCTTCACATTTTGGCTTTTGATTTACATACATTTATCTTACCTTTTTATACGCCCACTTTGAAATGTGGTCGTATATTGTCGCGCCCCCGTCGGTCCGTCGGTCCAGCATCCACAATTGCTTGTGGACGCTCTAGAGGCCAAAGTTAATATCCGATTGACTTTAAATTTATACACAGTGTTTAAGGTCATGAGACGAGGAAGCCTATTGATTTTCAGCGATTTCTGATAATTACTGCCAGAGTTATGGCCCTTGATCACTTCAAAAAATCTTGTGGACGTTCTAGAGGCCAAAGTTAATATTCGATTGACTTTAAATTTATACACAGTGTTTAAGGTCATAAGACGAAGAAGCCTATTGGTTTTCAGCGATTTCCGCTCTAAAGGCTAAAGTTATCATCCGATTGACTTCAGATTGATACACAAAGTTTAAGATCTTGAGACGAACAAGTATATTGATTTTCAATGAATTTTTATGACTTGAACAAATCCATGATATTAAAAGTTTTGTATACAAAACGTTAGCATGGGGCAGAACTTTATAAAAACCAAACAAATTCTAATGGTTTTCTGATAATTACTTCATGAGTTGTTGCTCTTAATCAGATTTTAGTGTATTATAAATGTTTCATTACCGAAAAAAGTAAGAATATGCGACAACTCTTGTTGACTGCCCGGACGATTTAGCTGCTGTGGGCGTATGTTTCGTTGCCTGGCAACCTATCTTTGATTTATTTATACACATTATTTATGTTCATGACATGAAGAATCCTATTCATTTTCAATGATTTCCTAAAATCAGTTGAAGGTATGGCCTTTGATCAGTTAAAAAGTCTTGTGGACGTTCTAGAAGTTAAAGTTATCATCCAGCTGATTTGAAATTTATACACCGGAAAAATTCATGGGTTGTAACTTTTGATCAATTTTTAGTGTCTTTTAATTATTCCTACTATGCAACAATCTTTGTTGACTGCTCGGATTACTTAACTTCTGCAGGCATATGTGTCGTTGCCTGGCAGCCTATCTTACTTACGGTATTTTATGAAATTTGTAGGAAACTTCAGATTTATACAAGAAATGATTAGATTTTATTTATTTGTTTTCTTATGATATTGGCAACAACATCTTTATATTTTTTAATTAAAATCAGTGTTTTCTGTAGGAAATTCAACAATTATGAAATTTGTAGGAAACTTCAGATTTATACAAGAAATGATTAGATTTTATTTATTTGTTTTCTTATGATATTGGCAACAACATCTTTATATTTTTTAATTAAAATCAGTGTTTTCTGTAGGAAATTCAACAGTTACCATTTTGTCTTCAATCAAGTTTTGTCAAAAGACTGCATAGCAGTCTCACTTTCTTCAAATTCTGGTTAATACTAACTTCTATGAGGTTTTTATACATGTACATTGAATTTATAAAATTTAAAAATTCAGCCAATGACCAGTCTTCTCTTCGATTAACTGTAATCAGTCAGTTATCTAACCGATAATGCAATTGACTTTCCAGCAACAAAAATATAACAGACAGTTATAACAAGACATTTTAGCAAGATAACGGTCCGTTAAAGTTTAATGAATTGTTAAAATAACAACTAGCCCCAAGAGTATAAAACAAAGGCCTGATTTGCGCTGATAAAATTATTGACTTGTACCAATAACACAGATATTGTCGTATTTCTGTATCTTATAAAACATGCCCAAGGGTGTGAAATGTCGTTTAATGTTTTAATCATGACTTACACATACACTTTAATGCGACATGTCACTATTAATTCTTGCTATCACTGTCATTAAAACTATAAAAACGATAGGCAGTGTGTCATGAAAAGCATGTTGCCGTCTCAATATGATTGTACATGTATGTGTTGGTTTTATTGCTTGAATTGTAAATATAAAGTTTAAATATGAAATCATGCAGAATTTGCTTTTTTGATATTTTTATTTTACTGGTTCATAAATAAAAGTTCATGACACTTGATACCAGGGCTATCGTTTCAGTCATGTTTACAAGTCATGACTGGCTGTCAGTCAGTATTTATCAACCAAGAGATACACATGATATTGGATAGCTTTGATAACCTTGCTGTGAAATGATCAAAGTAAATTTTGTATGTATCTGTGAACTGCTTGGGCGACTTAGCTGCTGTGGGTGTATGTTTTGTTGCCTGGCAACCTAACTTTGATAACCTTGCTGTGAAATGATCGAATTAAATATTTTATGTATATTTAGATGTAAGAAGAAAGAATATCAAGTGTCCAAGTTTCCGACTACTAGTATTATTATCGTATTTCACAACGAGGCGTGGAGTACGTTACTACGTTTAGTTCACAGTATCATCAATCGGTCACCTAGAGCGTTATTAAAAGAGATTATACTTGTAGATGACGCTAGTGATAAAGGTAGGTCACACAATTTTTAACTACACATTGAAGATCAGATTTAATAGAGAAAAAAACGAACAGTGGAGACAATAGACATTTTAACTGTCCACATTAACCATTAAAAAAATAATATGTAGTTGTCTCAAATAACTTAAATATTGTGTTGACGAGACGTTTTTCTCTTAAAGTAACTAATCCAGACATTATATAACTTTTAGGGTTTAATCAATGTTTAATGTACCCATATTAGTTATTTAACATTTAGTTATAAAAACAAAACTAAATTATCACCGGTAGATATTCTGCCAGCTTGAATTTAATCAGATTAAAGGAGACTCATCAAAAAAAAACTTACCTAACACATATTGGTGATGCTGGCTTCATTATATCACCTTCAGGGGATCTCGAATGCTGACAAATGTTGTAAATACTGATTGATATTCCTTTTATAGAATCAACTTTCATCACAATCTGTTAGTTTTCAAGTATTTGAAAACCCTGGGGGGGGGGGGGGGGCAAATGCTTAGTGCATGGGCGTTTGATCATAAGGTCTGACATTGAGTCAAGTGGCATGGTTTCGATTCCGCGCCTGTACATGACAAGGAGTATTAGGCTCACCTGTCCAGCCTCATTGGTTTTCTCCGGGTCCTCGATTTCCTCCCACTGCTGAAGACTACTATGTGCTAGCGAATTATTGAAATAAAATTTAACCACATTTAGTCCTGAAATGACCTAGTTTGTGTCTAGTGGACATTAAACCCCATTTTTCTCTCTCTCTTATTTCAAAACCACTCAAATGACAATCAGTGACTTTAATATTATTACAGCGGGAAAATGTGCAAACCTTTTTCAGATCAAGCCTTTTGTTTGAATGTACAAAGTTATAATGAAGTCATATATAACAATACTAATTAATAGGAGGAGATTCTGTGTATTAATTTGTTTTATTTTTTTTCTAACAGATCATTTAGGAAGACAGTTAGATAATTATGTAAAGAAATTACCTGTACCTGTCAAAGTTTTACGTTCAGAAGAAAGAACTGGTTTAATTAGAGCTAGATTAAAAGGTAGGTGTAACATTAGCAGGAATTAATGCTGTATTACTAACCAGGATGTTCTGGGTTTGATCTAAGTGTTGATCAAGAAAGTTTCACTTTCTACCATTATCAGCACATTAAAGCACCCCTGGCAGCTGAAAATCGATATATGAGTAGGCCATAGTATAACTGTCGGGACATATTATACGCCATTGGCACATTCCTATTCTCTTCTGTAGGTTGGGGGGTGGATGGCTTAATGGTTAGCATGTGCATTGTATCATAAGGTCTGTCATTGAGTCAACTGGCATGGTTTTGATTCCCCGGTTGTAGGTGACAAGGAGTAGGGTCACCTGTCCAACCTTGTGGTTTTTCTCCAGGTCCTCAGGTTTTCTCCCACTGCTAAAGACCCCTGCGTGCAAACAAATTGTTGAAATAAAATTGAACCATATGTTAGTCCCGAAATACCTAGTTTGTGTCAAGTACATGTTACACCCTCTCTCTCTCTCTCTCTCTCTCTCTCTCTCTCTGTGTCTCCATATAATATAATTTTCCTTCCATTTTGTGAGAAGCTGAGTCCTTTACATGTAATTTAACAGTCAGATGAATATTTGTTTATGTATTTTCAGGAGCTGCGGCAAGTAAAGGTGAAGTATTGACGTTTTTAGATGCACATTGTGAATGTACAGAAGGCTGGTTAGAACCGTTATTAAACGAAATATATAAAGACAGGTGAGATAATCTCTTTCTATTTACTTATCACTTAAAAACAGAAACAAGAATAAAACACACCTGAAACTATAGGATTCGTGTTGGTGCTAAACTATGTCTTCTTTGTGTATTTCTTTTGTTTAGTGTGGTGATAGTGGTGGGCGAATGGTTTAACACAAACACGTTACATTATACGGACTGTCATTGAGTCAAGTGCAGTGGTTTTGATTCCCAGCTTGTACATGACAAGAAGTAGTGCCACCTGGTCAACCTTGTGGGTTTTCTCTGGATCCTCCGGTTTCCTCCCACTTCTAAAGACCCATGGTGGGGTTTCATGGCCGAAATTGAGTCAACTTGCATGGTTTTGATTCCTTGGTTGTATGTGACAAGGAGTAGGGTCGTGGGTTTTCTCCGGGTCCTCCAGTTTCATCCCACTGCTAAAGACCCCAATGCACAAGCGAATTATTGAAATAAAATTGAACCATGTGTTAGTCCCGATATGACCTAGTGTGTGTTGAGCTGACGTTAAACCCCATCTCTTCCTCTCTCCCTCTCTCTCTCTCTCTCTCTCTCTCTTAGAAGACCCATATGCCCAAGATAATTATTGAAAAAAAATTGAACCAGATGTTTGTCCCAAAATGGCATAGTTTCTGTCAAGTGGATGTTAAACCCCAATTCTTTCTCTCACGGGGGGTTAGATGGCCGAATAGTTAGCACGTGCATGCTGTATTATACGGCCTGTCATTGAGTCAACTGGCGTGGTTTCGAATCTCCGGTTGTACATGACAAGGAGTAGGGGCGCCTGTCCAACCTCATGGGTTTTTTCCGGATCCTCCCGTTTCCTCCCACGGCTAAAGACCCCAACGCGCAAGCAAATTATTGAAATAAAATTGAACCATATGTTAGTCCCAAAATGACCTAGTTTGTGTTGAGTGGAGTTAAACCCCATTTCTCTCTCTCTTTCTCTCTCTTCTTTTTAGCACTAATAATAAGCTTTCAGAATATATGATTAAATATTAGTTGTAGTACAGCTTGAAGCATATATACACTACAGTGTCTGGTTTCAACACAATATACAGTAGAATCTGCATTAAGCAGCCACCCAAGGGAATTTTCACAACTGACCGCTTAACGGGAGTGGCCTCTTAATAAAATCTCGTTGCTTTTTGTGCTGACATAAATTAAATATTACGCTTGGATGCATTGGAAGCGGTAAAATTGGCCGTCGCTGAATCTTGCGGCGAACGAAAATTGTGCTGACAAATTAAATATTACGCTTGAATGCATTGAAAGCGGTAAATTTGACCGTCGCTGAATTTTGCATCGAACGAAAATTCTTTACTCAAATCTCGGACATAACTTCTGTAAACTTGTCATTTTGTACCAACCTTCGATACTACTGTCTACCATTGTGATGCATTTGATAATATTTATCCATTTTTGTGAAGAAAATCGATGAATTAATTTTATTTTATCAAAAAAGCACATGAACAAAAAAACATCGCTAATTTTATCACCTATTTACAGGGGGTGTAACTCTGTATGTAATATTATAGGAGGCGCTAAGAGAGATACTAGATGATCGTGACAAAACTCGGTACTTTTATTTTATTCAGTCAGGATCAAATAATGTGTCGTTACGCGTGAAAACAATGATCAGGTTAGTCGTGTAATAAAACAAAAGATTAATTAACAGATAATCCCGGGTTGATTGTTATTTTTACATTTCTTTTTACCTGATCAGTGGGGGTCCAGTTAATTAACTACTACTCACGGGATTAGCGGGGGTGTTACAAAGAACGACAAGATGGTATCATTCAACAATGGCCGTTGAATGGGCGATGTTTTGTTGAATTTATTAGTAAAATAGTGACCGCTGGCCGATAGAGGAGTGACCGTTGAATAAAGAGATGAAACAACAGAATTTCTACGGGGGGAATTTATCATGACCGCTTACAAGGAGATGTCGCTGAATAGGAGTGGCTGCTCATACAGATTCTACTGTATCTATAATCATATATATATACTCTTGTATTTCAGAACATCGGTTGTATGTCCTATTATAGATGTAATAAGTGATGATACATTTGAGTACATAACAGGTAGTGATATGACCTGGGGAGGATTTAACTGGAAGTTGAATTTCCGCTGGTATCCTGTACCACAGAGAGAACTAGAGAGACGAGGAGGAGACAGAAGTCTACCAACAAAGTAAGTAAGAATAAAAAATGGTTCAGCAGACCTGGCAGTAATAATTGTAGTTGTCACTGATATTATGCCATCTTCATTAGCCCAGTCGGAGCAGAACAGTAGGACGTTAAACCCCATATCATCTCTTTTCATTCGATTCCTGCATTGGCCGAGAAAGTTCATCCAGATGTGGTTCCCCCTTGTTAGTGATGCAGGACTGAGGGTCTGACAAGGACAGCCGTCTAGTCATTCGGATGGCACGAAAAATCAAGGTCCCTTATACACATTGGAGTGCATGTAAAAGATCCCTTGACAGTTGGAATTTAATATAAGAATAGGCCGTAGCTACGATTATAACACAGTAATTGTTTTCCATAGAACTGTTGTTTATTGCAATGTGTTCAATTACTAAATGTGATTTAAATTGTAAACTTGTATATTTATCAGTTGAAAATGAAATCTTTGAAGAGAAAATGGAGTTGGGTGGCTGAATGGTTTAACATATGTGCTTCAGATCATAATATCTGTCATTGAGTCAAGAAGCATGATTTCAAACCAACACGATGAGCACAGGGACGCTTGTCTGTACTAATGGGTTTTCTCTGGGTCCTCCAGACCCATACATACCAGTAAATTATTAAAATGAAATTGAACCATGTGTTAGTCCCAACTTGATGTAGTTTGTGCCGAGTGGACCTTAAACCTCATTTCTAATTTTATGTTTTATTTTACAGAACACCAACAATGGCTGGTGGTTTATTTGCTATACAGAGAGATTATTTCTATGAGATCGGATCATATGATGAGGGTATGGATATATGGGGTGGTGAAAACCTAGAAATGTCATACAGGGTAAGTTCCTTGATTATTAAATCGTTGATTGAGAATAAGAATTATTGTGTGTTATAAGAATTGACTAGTACTATTCTAAAAATCACAGTTACATGTGTTGTTCCACAGTAAAGATTGCAACTATTATTCCATAGTACAATTACTAGTCTAAAGTACAGATAACAATTACTAGTCTAAAGTACAATTACTATTCTAAAGTACAGATAATAATTACTATTCAAAAGTATGGATAACAATTACTATTCTAAAGTACAATTACTATTCTAAAGTATAGATACCAATTACTATTCTAAAGTACAGATAATAATTAATATTCTAAAGTACAGATAACAATTACCATTCAAAGTAAAAATTGTAATTATAGTTTTAAATTTGTGAAAATATTATAGAATTTTATTTACGTTATTTCTTTTTATTTTAGGTATGGATGTGTGGGGGTCAAATATTTATTGTGACCTGTTCTCGAGTAGGTCATGTGTTCCGTAAAACATCACCGTACTCCTGGCCAGGTGGTGTAGCCCGAATTATAAACCATAATACACAGCGAATTGTAGAAGTATGGATGGATGAATATAAAGATTTCTTTTATAAAATAAATCCAGGTACATTTGCTTGTTTGTAACATTGAATTTCAGAGAAGACTTTTGGGGTGTTTTGTCACAGGATTCTAATTTAGAGACTGGGTAATGAGATGTATGACATACATTAAATGCTAACTAGGTCATTTGGGGACTAACATGGTATTTTTATGTCAATAATTAGCTTCTCTGCATGGTGAACCGGTTAGACCAGAAGGTCTGCCATTGTTGCATGTGTTACGGACTAGATCACAAGTTTGTACCTGACAATGAGTATGTATGGTGGCCTGCCAAAAATTGTATATTTTCTCCAGTTTCCTCCCGCTGCTAAAGATCCATACGTATGAATAGAAATATACAGAACTCACAGTACATTCATTGTTACTGAATTGCTGTCCCACACATGAAAGTTTCAGCTGAAAAATAAAATTAGTAATCAAACAGACTTTCATGTAACATTTGGAAACAAAACTTGAATCAGTCTGTCCCATCACATCACTAATACATGTAGCACATCAGTTCAACCCAATTCAGCACTTTATTTTGACCTAAGTCAAAGAAATTTAGCTCCTTAAGATCCACTCTGCACAGACTAGGTTATATTTCGATTATCATAAGTTTATCTCTCTCAAATAAGATTTATTGTTACAGTACAAGCTAGGTTATTTCAGGACTAATAAAGCATATGTTTATCTCTCTGCAATAAGATTTATTGTTACAATGTGTAAAACCTTTTATCTTCAGGAGTTAGAAATACGGCTTACGGTGATGTCACAGCTAGAAAAGAATTACGTAAAAAATTACAGTGTAAAAGTTTCCGTTGGTATTTAGAAAATGTTTATCCTGAATCACAGATGCCTCTTGACTTTTATTCACTGGGAGAGGTAAGATATACCATAGTGACCCATTTGTAATTCCCAGATAGTGGTATCTGGTGTTCTAGAAATGGTAACCACACCCTTCAGCACAATTTACATCTCAGAGATAATAAAATGTGCAGACGTCCTATGCAGACAGGAAACTGCGGATATGATGAAGACCCGAGGTTGGGTATATACGTATTGGCGTGCATGTTAAAAAACCCTTGACAGTTGGAATTTCCATGAACAATAGCCGGAAATGTTGCTGTCCAGGCAAAATTTCCATCATAGCACACTGCATGGCATATACTGTCCACATTAGCACGTTTGGTGCAGAAAAGATGTTAAACCCAGTTTCATTTCATTTCCCATCCCAAAATGATTTGTGGGTGTGGTCGTATCAGACTTGTCGACCACGGAGCTCTCAACATCCAAGACCAGAAAATTAATAGTAATTAGGCATTGAAAGACCCTTCTCCATCTCATCTGGAAGAAACACGACTTGCAAACATTTAGTTAACAGGTGTTATAATCCACAGCCTATTCGGGCAACATGTCTCAGCCCCTTTTGTGGCAGGGATGCAAATATAGGGTGTTCCCGGTAGCCCTAATTTGTTCTGTTCTGTTGTGGTGTCCCACGATGATTAAATATACTTCCTGCTGACTTGATCATGGGTAATTCCCTTTGGCTTAAGCATCTGGATTCTATACAAGAGGTCACAGGGTCATTTCCCAGCACGAGAGCATCTTATCTTGTAATTTTGATTTAATGTATTTAGGTTCGTAATAAAGAGACTGGTATGTGTATTGATACAATGGGTAGAAAGAGTGGAGAGAAAGTTGGTATGGTGGCTTGTCATGGTATGGGAGGAAATCAGGTATGTCTATTCTTTGTTTCATTTTAAAAAAAAACAGTGTTCAAACCAGGGCTTGCACTTTAAAGTTTGGCCAATCTGCCAGTCTGTTGTATTTTGTGTAGCTCAGATCAGCAAGATAGTTTTTCTAATAATATGGTAATTTTTAAGCATTATACTGAAAACTAGACATTTTGCAGTATTTATTGTGCCTTTATTTTAAAGTCTTTGTAATTCTAATTTTTATGGCAAATAAATTGACTGGCTGGCCAATAGTACTGTAACTGAAGCTGTGACTCAAGCTGTTGATTATCACAGTTTCTTCTAATTATATATCAAAATGTATTTTATCGGACAAAAGTTACAAGATCATGACCTAAATTAATATTTAAAGAAATGTTACTGCCATGTCTATTTATAATTTTAAGATATAGTTTGACAGTTGTAATCCTAAATACATAGCCCTCGACTGTTAACTTGTGTTTAATACTTGCATTAAGATAGCAATATCAGACACGGCACCCAACACTAATTATAAACTTATTAAATTTATTGTGGATATCAGTCAATTTGATTATCATACTTTCAGTTAACAATAAGTTTATAATTATGCTGGAGGGAATTTCTCTTTAATCTTTAAGGAGTCCCGTTGGCCCCACTAGCCAGGGTTGTGTTGGTCTAGAAAGTTTATCTGGATTTTCTGCATGGTTTACTCTAATCAGTAATGTAGATAGGAGGATCGGGCTAGGAACAGCTTCTGAAACGAAAAACCAACGTCCCACTTTCATGTTGACATGCACATAAGAGAAGCCTTGATGTTTGGAATTCGATAAAGAACACGCATAGACAAAATTTCCTTCATAGCACACTTGATTAGTATGTTGTGCAGAAGTGTGGGATGTTAAACCCTATTTTATTTCTATAATCTTAAAGCAGATATTTGATTATATATTGTATGTCTATGATTAACATGATACCCTAATGAGCTCCCTTTTCAGGTTTTTTCATATACTAAAAAGCAGGCTATACAGAGCGATGATATATGTTTAGATGTGTCCACAATGAACGGGCCTGTCAAATTGTTTCAATGTCACGGTTTAGCGGGAAATCAGAAATGGGAGTATGATGAAGAGGTAAAGGGAAACAACTCTACAATCAACCACCATCTCGCAGTTATATGCCCCTGAAGTTTGACAAATTCTTACACAGCTTGTTTGTTATGTTTCCAAAAAAGACTAGTGAATCATCAAACACTTTCGTACCACCAAAATTTCAACCATCACAGAAATTTGATTTTACCAAAAAATGCAACCAATACAATCTGTTGATTGCTAGATTGAAGATGATTAATTTGGACGATTACTCGTTTTGTAATTCTGTTCGACACTCAAGCTACAAGATTTTGTTAAATTTCTGCCCATGTTTCATATTTCAGGGTATTTGTTTTTGCTGAGTTGAAAGTAGATCGCATGGCAGCTTACGTTCGCAGTGTTTATTTAGAATTATTTAGTCCAAAACGTTGATGAAATTGTTTGTTCTTTTTCTGCATGTGACGTTCAGGTTTTCTCGCTCACGAAGAAACAAAAGCTCATGACGGATGACAATACATGTATCGTCACGAGTCACAACAAAAAAGTTATGCTAGGCAATTGCGGCGGAGACAACACAGAGTGGAAATACGATCAAAAGGTAGGGGCTTAAACGCAGCTTCGATTGGATCACACAAACTTGCATGGTCATTGGTTGATAGGGAGATTGAATAATGCTTAAATGACTTCACTATTTCACAATGCAGCATTTAAATGCTGTAATAATTCATCTGAAATGATTGTGGAACTTATTTAAGCAAAATGAAATTTTTTTATGCCACTATCAAATTGTCTTAACGTCATCTTTAGAAATTATTTTTTTATCGGTTTAAGTTTTCCAATGTTAGATATTTCATATTTTGATTTTACCTTTGGGAGTGAAACTGCCTAAAAAATTGAGAGTTAATTTTGTATTGTATTCAGCTGAGATGGAAGTAAGATAGATTTGATAGTGAGAATGGGGTTCATTTTATGGATGTATAGAGGTTATGGCCATTTCTTAACTAATCTTTAATAACTTTATGCTATCCAAAGATCAAAAATATGGATTGTTATTTCCTCCCCTGACCCCCCCCCCCCCCACCTCCTTCCAAGAGAAATAATTATATCATGACTCTGTTTCTTGCATCCAGTATATACTTTCGCAACTAAAGTTCCATAATTTGAATTGATATTTTTATATGCACACATTATTACAACACTTTGTATTTATGTTTGTACTAAATGTGTTGTTATACATGTAATCTTTTGTGTAGCTAGGATGACTGAATTGTCTTTCTTGTCTTTCACATGCACTTTAGACCGTAAGGTTTGTCATCAATGCTAGTGCCATGGATACAATCCTAGGCTTGTATGTTAAAAGGAGTATGGTTGCTCGCCTAACCATGTTGGTTTTCTTCACTTCCTCCATGACCCCCCCCCCCCCCCAAACAAAATATTGAAATATAATTATTTACTTGTATCCCAATATGACCTAGTTTTTGTTGAATGGACATCAAACCCTATCTCTATCTCTCTGTTACATAGCACAATTCCAAATTATCATTTATTAATTAATTGATTGAAGAAATATGGCTTCTTCCTATGTACATCTAAACAATCTGATTAAAATACAGATCTATTTTTTGTTTTGTTTTTTATGCTTTCAATGGCCTACACTACATGAAGATCTGACCTTTTGTAGTGGGAGGTCACGTCAAATATTTGATTAACCAATCAGCGTTGATGTTTCTAGTGGATTACCCACAGTTCTGTGCATCTCACGCCATAAACTCACCGTAACAGACCGTTTCATTGGCTAATCCGTCACATCATCCAGAACGGGGGCCATATAACAACTCTTCCAGATCCTAGTTTAGTAAAGACAAGTAACCTAAATTTTGAACTATAAAAAACAAAACGAAATAGGATCTGTGTTTTAATCTGATTGACATCTAAGGGTTTGTTTGATTCATCATGATTCCAAGGTCTGTTTAACAAAGAAATAAAATCTCTTGAAATTGATTCTAATCGATTCTTTTATTCATTAAAATCACTGATTATCATTTGCATTTTTCAAACAAAATCTAATTTTCACTGCTTAATCCACACCAAAATGTACTCAAATATTTGATTTAAAAAACCAAACCAAACTATGAGTGATTGATGGATAATATTCCGGCTTGAATTCATTCCAAGTATAAAAAGACCCGAACATAGTTTATGATTGCTTCGTATGTTGTGGATGCCAAATGTGGCGAAATTTTCAATGTATCATATCTTCGTAAATACTGAACGAAATTGATTTATATTCCTTTTAAAGATAGAACTTTGAGAACATTATAATTTGGTAGATATTAAAAATCACACAAATGATGATCAATGTTTTTAAATATTTACTGATTTAAAAGTTTCAATCGATTATCAGAGATTTAATTTCTAGTAAAAAAAAAACAACAAAAAAATGACTCCTCCACACTATTTCTGATACCCAGCCTGATATCTCAATGCTAGGAGAGGCTACCAGAGATGATGTTTGAGGTCCAGGATCTTGAATCAATCAAACATGTCCAATATGACTGGGTAGGGTTGTAGTATCCACCCTTGTCTTAATGTGTTCCGATCGAAGCAGCGACATCCCTAACATAAATGTAGGTCCTACTTTTAGTAAACCTGCTGTTTAATCATTGGTGCTTTCATTTATTTTAAGTTTCACTTGTAACCAAGGTGATTGGCTTACTTTTAACTCAAGTTGGTATCCCTAGAGATCGTTGAATTCATGTCTTGTCTTAAAATCTTGGGGCTTTTTTTTTTTTTTGGAAGGGTGGGGGGGATGAATATACATAGACCAGGGCTTTTATTTGGATGAATATACATGACCAAGGTGTTTTTTTAGACCTATTTAGACCATTGTTGCCATCTAATTTCTGACCACAACAACTCTTGACGGGCGGTTAGTTTACTTGTCACTAGACAAAAAAATTATATTGTCATCGCCCCCGTCCGTCCATCTGTGGACGCTCTAGAGGCTAAAGTTAATATCCAATTGACTTTAAATTTATACACAGTGTTTAAGGTCATGAGACGAAGAAGCCTATTAATTTTCAGCGATTTCCGATAATTACTGCCAGAGTTATGTCCCTTGATGACTTCAAAAAATCTTGTGGACACTCTTGAGGCTAAAGTTGATATCCGATTGACTTTAAATTTATACACAGTGTTTAAGGTCATGAGACAAAGAAGCCTATTGATTTTCAGCAATTTCTGATAATTACTGCCAGAGTTATGGCCCTTGATCACTGCAAAATATCTTGTGGATGCTCTAGGGGCTAAAGTTATCATCCGATTGACTTCTGATTGATACACAGAGTTTAAGGTCTTGAGACGAACAAGTTTTTTGATTTTCAATTAATTTTGATAACTTGAACAGCTAAATCGATGATATTAAATGTTTCGTATACTAAACTTTATAGTATGGGGCAGAACTTTATAAAAACCAAACAAATTCTAATGATTTTCTGATAATTACTTCATGAGTTGTTACCCTTAATCAGTTTTTAGTGTATTATAAATGTTTCATTACCGAAAAAAGTAAAAATATGCGACAACTCTGGTTGACTGCCCAGACGATTTAGCTGCTGTGGGCGTATGTTTCATTGCCTGGCAACCTATCTTTATGTAAGTAAGCCTGATTCGCTTTAAAGACAGCCCAGGTCTTAGAAAAAACCCACACAGAAATATTCATCCAAATTTGCATCATGTATTTTTGAATTATTATTAAATGCTTTGCATGTGTTAATATTTATGGTTAAAAGTGCATGTAACTGGTGGTAGCTTGTGTTTGTTTTGCTTGTATGGTTTTATTTATGTACACTATGTGATTTTGGTTGGGATTTATGTGATCACGATAATACTTATGTTGGGAGTTATCTGAGATTGTGATAATGCTGACATTGGGAGTTGACGTTGGGAGTTATCTGTGATCAAGATAATACTGACGTTAAAAGTTATCTGGGATCGTGATAGAAAATTTGATGTGATTGATTTTTGCGTGGGGGGGAAGGTGTCAAGAGGTTTAAGTTACGTGATGTATATGATAACACCTGTTATCTATCAGATTATTTAACAACACTGCATGAATTTAATATATATTTTTAATTTTTATATAGGTGGGCAATCTTTTTATTTCATTTTAAGTATTGGGAGTAACCTTTCCAATAATCACTACTCCTAATCATCCCCCTCTTTCCTCCATTTCCTAAAGCAGTTTTATATAATCGAGGTGTGTTTTCTGTTCGTGCTGGCTACAATTATTATCAACATCAATTATGACATTAAAATTGGGGGTCATTGTAATGAGCAGTCAGGGAGACAATTCCCGACACAAGCCCAAAAGAACCATTGTGATTTGCCATGGTTGGCAGGAATGGCTGCTCTGGGAGCGACATGAAAGTTATGCCTACTCATTCAGAAGGGATGAAAAACAAGAGGTCCGAAACATCTGCATGTGCTGTGTTCGTGAAAGATCTCTTGACAGCTAAAAATTGTAGAAGAGAAGTCTGCATTGCACATCTAACCATAGAAATAGAAATTACCTAATATTTCTCCTAAAATGACGGAAGTACTGTGTTGATGAAACATGACATCCCCCCCCCCCCCATCCTATTGCCTTGACATCAAAAATTACCCAGCTGAACAAAATTTATGTGTATTTTTTTTTTAAAAATCTGAGCAATAAATATGTTATCCCTGAAATGAGATGTATTTTGAAATTCTGTCTTTCAGACATTTGTATTAAAACATGTGAATACAGATATGTGCCTTCAAAAACCAATAGGTCGTGAAAGAGATACACCATCTTTAGGTAAGCTAAAAATATTAGACCACAAATACTTTAATAATGCATAGAAAAATGATCTTTTGGTAAAACATTTCTAGCTGACTGGACTTTATTACATACTCCTTCATTTTACATGATACACATCAATTTTGGGAGTCTCTGTGAGTCAGTGAGTATAACGCAGGTACACTAACCAGGCAGTCACCAGTTCAATTCCAATCATTGCACACATCTTTTCCTTTAGGCCATGATCAGGGTTTATAAGGCACTTGCTCGCTAAGTAGGAAGTCTTGGGTATGATCCTCATTTTCCATCATAATACTGTTAAGACGGCTGGGAACCTGACAAGGAAAGCATCTAGTTCTACAAATGGGGCAGAAAACCGAGGTCTCCTATATACCCTTGGTAACGTATTAAAGATCCCCTTACAAAGTAACAGAAGACCAAGGTACCATTGTCCAGGCAATATTTCTCTTGTAGCAACGGGCTTGGTTTAATCCTGTCTTCTGTGTTGATAGTCCTGAAATAACCTAGTTTCTGTTGAGTGCACGTTAAACCCCATTTCTCTCTTTCTTTTACCGGATCTGTGCAGAAAATGAAATGAAATTAAATGAAATGAAATGAGGTTTAACGTCCTACTCTTCTGCACCTAACCTGGGCTAATTGAAGACGGGGTGTGCAGAAAAGTAAGAGGTTCAGCCCCATTTGATTTCACATGACTTTTCAAACGGTGCCTTTAAACCATACTCGAGTTTTATTATTATATCAGAAGGACGAATGTGATCGAAAATTTTGATCAAATTTGTACTTCAACTGACAATGGGAATTCCATTCTTAGAGTTGTTTAAATTGAATGTACTCCCCCTCCACCACCACCACATGCAATCCATTATTGTAATTGATATGGTTTGTTTTCAGGAAGTTGTACAGGTGAACTAAGTCAGCAGTGGATTCTGGGAGATATGAAGTTTGAACAGTAGATAGATAACTTTAAACTCTCTCAATTTTAACCAATCAAGACACTGATCTCAGGAAACACGAACCAATCAGAAAGCCATCCATGTAATTTAAAAATCACGCCTGTTATGTTTTTAAAGTGTTGAAGTTGTTTGCGTACGACCTTGATGAAGGTTGTTGATTATTATTGTTTGTATGTTTGTTATGAGAGAGTAGCCTGAATCTGTTAGTATGTTAAGATATATTGTTATGTAAATGTAAATTTGTTGTTTTTTTAAAATCATTTGTAAACAATTTACAACATGGTCATTCTTTCGTTTGTGAGAGATAACGTCTTTGTCAACTGAGGATGATATTGCAAATTGGCATCGAGGTAAAACAACCCTTGGCAGTTGGAATTTGAAAAACTGTAAGCAGAAATGCAGTTGTTCAGGCAAAATTATCCCCCTCTCATTGCATACATGTCCATTTAGATAAAATTTGCCATTTTACTAACATAGAACGATTAAAAGAGCCAAAGATTGTGCAATAAATGTTGGATGACCAAAAGGAAAGATACAGGCCTTGGTGATCTGAAATTATATACTGCTGAGTGTCATAGTTTATACATTAAGAATAGACTGCGATGTATTGTGTGGAGAAATTGTTTTATTGGAATAATTATTGTTTAGTTTTAATGTTTATAGTGTTTATTTATCTTGTTTACGTGTTCAATATTGACAAAATTCATTTGATAGTGTTCAGTGGGTAGGAATTATTGTTGTCTCAAAAATTAAGATATCGACACAAGTGCTTGGATAAAATTAGCTATGATGAATTTTAATTTTAAAAATTTTATTAGCTAAAATGAATGTAAATGTCATAGACTATTTTAAAGCTACATTCCCAGGAAAGTATTTATCGGGTGGTTATTTCCAATAAAAGTGTGACAATTTTGGTATATATGGAAAGTAGAAATATCAATCTTACTAGAAAAATACTGGATTCCCTGAAAAACACTCATGGAGCACATACAGGACAAAAATGTAAGGGTTTCCTTAATCGACAGCCCGACAATTAGAAGTGTCTTCACGAGTGACGTCGACGGTTGCCCGCGGAGATTGAGCGCTTGATGTACATTTTGATAAACTTTATGAAGAATTAGACGTACAACACTTTCTGAGATAAAAATCATGGAAAAACATGCGGGCAGTGGATAATCCGAAAATTTAATTAGGCTTCGATATTTGTAATAACTTTATGAAGAATTAGACGTACAACACTTTCTGAGATAAAAATCATGGAAAAACACGCGGGCAGTGGATAATCCGAAAATTTAATTAGGCTTCGATATTTGTAATAAATAGTCAGCAATTAAAGAAAACGTCGTCTTGTGTATGCAATGAATTCTCCTCTTGCGTTGCTAGGTACTGAGAGAGGGAAGTCACGTGACACAAACATGACCTCTTTTGATCGATTTTTTATAGCCAGGGTATTCCCCGACAATTGCAATGTTTTGAGAAGGATTTTAAGCAAAATTATGATAAATTAATTAGTTTGAATATGTTTTTAGTCCAAATATATCATCAAATCACCCAGTTTTTACCCGGGAATGTATCAAAGCTAAAGTGAATTTGTATGTCACTGAGTATACATAAGTTACTATGGTTTTGAATATCAATGCCAGCGCGGATCCACAGGGAGGGTCAAGAGGGTCGACTGAATTTGGGGGTTCCAAGGCCCAGAATGGTCAGAAATGGCATCTACAATATTTGATTTTTCAAATTGTCTGGGGATGGACACCCAGATGCCTCCGTCGTGGGCACTGGTGAATTTACACACCAATATGGAGATTTGAAATTCCTGGACCTGTCCCTTCTGAACATCGTAAATCCTCCCCTGTATTGGTTATTATAAATGAATGCCAAAGTGGATTTGAATGTTAATGATTATTGATACGCTGGAAGAAATTTGATTGTTAAAACGTGTTATTGTGTATGTTAATTTGTTTCTGTGTTCATATATATATATATATATATATATATATATATATAATTGTACATATATAATTGTACATAGTAGGGTTATAATAATATTGTTTTGTTATCGGATCATATGAAACCGTGCCTATTCATGCTTAGCTTTTCTTGGCGAGCTGACACTTTAACAAATATGGTTTCTTTTTAATTAACTAACCATTCCTTGTGGGGGAATTTTTGTGAATCAAATTTATAATGTAGAATATTGCAATATGTCACACACTCAGCTGGAGATGTTTCTTAAAATTTAATCAAAATAACATTTCCAAGATAAAATTGTGTATGAAAGAATTATAAATGTACAATGGAGAGCTATAGATGAGATAATTCTTAGTATTAACTTGTTATTTAGATCAGTGTGACAAAATATAGATCAAAATAAAAAGCATTGAATTTGAATGAGCTTTTTACACAACATGGATCATATAAATCAATATCGTATAATTCCTTCATTGTGTATCATTGTGCTTCATTCACAACATTGTGCTTCGTTCACAACATTGTTGGTATTTGTTAGAATGTTAACTTCAAACTAGCAAATTAATTTGTATGTATACTTAAAGCTGTGGTGGGTGCATGTGAGTTTTATTTGTTTTTTTTAAATAGTCGAATATACATTAGGACATCACTAGTACTATAGTGCAGCTCGCTAAAGGGAATGTTTCACTATAACAACATGCTAATGTACTAAATGGACACTAACAATAGTGTTATAAAGTGGAGCTATATTGCATATTATATATGCATCTCACTATAATGCTGTTGTAGCAACTAGACTACTGGACCTAAAATCAGTGTTATAGTGAAGCCCTAGTGTATCATAGCGTCTTGCTATAATGCTGTTGTACAAACTGGACATAACAAGAGTGTAATAGTAAAACTCTAGTGTCTTGCTATAATGCTGTTGTACTAACTGGACACTAACATCAGTGTTACAGTGAAACCCAACTGTAATTTGTCTACTGTTAATTGAAATGTACATTGGAATAACAATGAAATAGAATGTTATTATTTATATATGTATTGTATATTATAACTTAATACCATATATATAATGTATATATTTGTGTATATATTGTAATATAAAGGCCATAGGATGGGATGTTATACATGCTGTAGACAGGATTATGCAAATGACGGTGCTCGGTCTACACATTTATCACTAATTTCTCACATTTTTAATCTCTTCAGCTCCTTGTGTTCTAAAATATGCAGCCTAGGACAGCAAAATGAGTCCCTGTTTACCTTATATGAAATGTTGAAATAGGATAATTTTTCTGTCATAGGTCGTATAATTACTTTGTCAAGTGTGGGATATGCTAGGACTTCTACATCTTCGACTTTAGTATAATTGTTTATGTTGCAAATGTCATTGGGTTTAACTACGAATGAGGTCAACCTTGTAGCTTGTTGTTACTTTAATTAGAAACCACTGTGAATATGTGATCAAAACACTGGTCTCGTTACTGCAAAGAACCCTCAGTTCTCACTTAGGTAAGCTCGTCAAGTTGTTCACACGGAGACAAGATTTGCACTTGACAGTTGGAAATGAAAGGAGAATAGTAGGAATCAACACTGCCTGGGCAATATTTTCTCCCTAAAATTGCACATGTAACCTTCAAAATAAAACATTTGGTAATTTAGTTTCAAAATGCAAGACATAACCATAGAAATAGTTGCCAGGTGTGACTACCACCATTGCAGTCAAAGGTGAATATTGTGAAGATAGTGATTATGTATCCTCTAATGGATTTAAACATTATGTTGGGACGGCTCACCAAAAACATGGATATGGATTTGAACAATATGACAGGATGGCTCACCAAAAACGTGATCAACATGCAAACTCAAACATTTTATGTAATACTAGAAAGAACTCTTTTAGCCAGTTTGTATATAAATCAGAATTTTAAGTTTAAAGTAGTGGACCAAACATTTTCTTGTTATTAAATTATGAATTTGTATATATGGCAGGTTCTTTCCAGTAAACTGCTCTAAAACCAAAAGTCACAGAATTTTTATACCTTCGCACCGAACGAAGTGACAGGAATATCGATATATCTGTGCTCTGCCCATCCTTTCATCCTGGGTTTGTTTCCAAAGCATGTCTCATAAACCCTTCTAGATCTTTATGGAACTTTCTAAAGACATCAACTTGTGATATTAGTTGTACCTTTTGGTGATTAGAATGTTTTTGGATTTAATTATTTGGGGGAAACAAATTTGACTACCGTAGTTATGGTCCTGTGGACACAAGCAGCTCAAGTTATTATCCTATTAACTTGTATTTAATACACAGTATTTATACCTATTGATTTTCAATGACTTTTGATAACTACTTACAAAGTTATTGCCCTTGATCAATCAAAAATCTTGTTAACACTCTAGAAGGTTAAAGTTTTTCAAATGCCATGACTGCTTGGAACACTTAGCTGTTTTATTGTTGCTGGGCAACCAATAGAGACTTTTGGCAAGCGTAATTTCCTGGTCCGTATCGCGTATTCGTATGGATTTTGCGTGTGACGTCATCAATGTCTGTGTATTTCTCATACGTGATACGGCACACGGATACGGCAGCACGTATGGAACGGCTTTCATACGGAAATGGTCCGTATAACACTGTCGTCTTTTTCCCGTCTTTTTTGCTACTTTTAGACGCTGAAATGTTGCATCATAGCGTTTTTATGAATCTGTGTGTATCCTAGAACACAAAGGTGTATATTTGATGTGATTTTAACAGTGATAACGACTGGAATTTAATCATCATTTTTGATGGGTTTTTCTCTAAATTTTCATATTTTTCCCGCCTGTCTGCATACTGGTTGATCTATGGGCTAAACTTTCTGAAATAATACACTAGTGAAACCAAAAATTGCTAAAATCTGCCAAAACTCTAAAACTACATTGACGCCACGTATACGATACGGATGGGAAAAATCCGCTTGCCAAAAGTCTCTAATGTTTATTTTGATTACCCAAGGAAAATTCTGATTTGTAAAGTAGATGGCAGCAGGAGCTATATTGTATATAAGATATGATTAGTATTATTTTATAGGAGATATATATATATATATATATAGCAATGGTGTGAAGCAGTAGTAGTCTACTTATTAAGGCAGATGCAGATGGATGGCTTTTCATATCATTAGACAACTTGAAAAAATAAATTTATGGATAACTTTTCATAGTATTGTGTACAAACTGTATGACTGATCCACTAACATTTTATGTGGGCTGTATTTTGTATTTGACAAATAATTTTGTAATTCATCATGAATGTTTTATCAATAAAATATCGCTGAATACACATCAGTTATGGGACAGACTGTGCACATAAACTAGAGTGGATTGAGATACATGTAGTTAGATATTGATGCATACTAATAAACAAGCACAAATTAAGTTAAAAATAACAAAGACAAAATGTCAAGTCTAGTCAAAATGTTATGCATAAAGTTTGGAAAACATCATAAATTTGCAATGTTCCTAATATTTTATTAGAGTATCAGACATGTAACGTTCAGTAAATTGCAAGCAGTCACTTGGACATTCAAATGTAAAAGTTGAAGGCATAATGTGTGGCTTTTCATACATGTAGTATTGAATTTGGGCAGCCATGAATCTCTGACAGATGACATTTACATAGAAGGTAGAACCATTGCTACATCAATGATATCTGTCCTTGGATGTGATTTCTGTCGGAATAGTAAAAATATTTTAATTAAATTGAGGGACTGCATTCTATGTAGGAACTGTTGTAAATTGTGTGTAATTGTACATAAATAATATGTTATGATATTAATTGGCATTGATGCTGATATTGGTTGTCATGGTGATCTTATCAGTTGTAAAATATGGAAAATTACTTAGAAATGCTGTATGGCCTATTAATTCAATGAACCAAAAATAAAATTGTTTCTACTTATCCAACTTAACCAGTTTTATTTTGTTTTTCTTACTTTTATTCTTGTTTTATTTTAGACCTGCTTTTGAGGTTAGTCCCAAAGTGACCTAGTTTTTGTTGAGTGGACGTTAAACCCCATTTCTCTCTCTAATTTTGAAGGGAGACAATCATGGTGCACTTATCCCTTTAAAGTAATTAAGTCTGTAACTCAGAATCATCCACAGTCTTCCATATTGCAAACATGACCTATTGGTCAATTTAAATCCACATTGATGTTGTTATCTTACAGTGAGAAGATTGGCATCTGATTTCCAATATTAAAGACACAGTGAATTGGCATCGAATCGCATGCCAGAATGCTTTTGAGTGCCATTTGTAATGATGTGACTCGATGAATGAGGCTAAACATATCCCACGGAAGAATACTACTGATGCTACTCAATTGGGACACTTCATGTATATTGCTAAACATAACTGATTAGATATTACAGTAAAAACAGAAATGATTGAATGTATATCAGTTTATATACATTCATATTACATTATTATATGCGTTGCAACCCATTTGTGTTTATTTCTAGGTGCCAAATATTAAAGAATTAGCTCATTTAATTAAGGGGGGGGGGGGACTGGATGGCCGAGTGGTTAGAACGTGCGTGCTGTATCATAAGGCCTGTCATTGAGTAAACTGGTGTGGTTTCGAATCCCCGGTTGTACGTGACAAGGAGTAGGGTCACCTGTCCAACCTCGTGTGTTTACTCCTGGTCCTCCTGTTTCCTCCCACTGCTAAGACCCCTAAGTGCAAGCGAATTATTGAAATAAAATTAAACCATATGTTAGTCCCAAAATGACCTAGTTTGTGCCGAGTGGAGTTAAACCCCATTTCTCTCTCTCTCTCCCTTTAATTAAGATATCCTGGACACATCATCACTATGTACGTACACCCTTCCACATTTTACATAAGCTTCTTCGTCGTACCACTTTCCCCTTGTCAGTGGTACAGGACATTGTCTAGTACTTCCAATGGAAAGAAAAAAACGAGTTCCCATGTTCACATCGGGACAATTGGAATTCGAAATAAGGGTAGGCCTTACTGCCCCTGTTCAAGATGGCACACAGGCCTTACTGACACTATCCAAGATGGCACAGTGTATGGCATCATCATAGATCATATAGTGCAGTTCTATGAGGGCATGCACGTTTTCATTAGCTCAGTCGATGCAAAAACTGTTGGATTTCATTTCTACGCACAACACTTGGCATTTGGGTTATTTTATCTTGAAAAGTCTGTCACTGTCATAAGCCAGGAGCTGCAGAATTCTATCTGGAAATGTTAAATCAACAGTCTACATTCCGCTATGGGGGATGTGTACTCGGCCAAATATCATCAGGGGCTAAACGAGAGACCTTAGAAGCCTCCCCTCCATGATTGCAGATAAGTACACTACACACAACTTGTACTGCATTGTTGGTGTCAGCTTAAACTGTGTACAATAACAGAGATGGGTTCACTAGTCTACAGGTGCACTAGTCTGCCGTCATAAAAATACTATATATATTATGTGTATAAAAAAAAAACAGCACGACCTACTGAAGGTTTTAGGCCATGTTTTGTTAGGGAAGTCAAAGAGTCAACATATTGTTACAAAAGTACCAACGACCCCATGACCTCCTGAACCTTGCACAACATTTTATATGAGCACAACACCACGATACTGTAATATTTCGGATATTAGAAGATATCGATCAATCGAAACAAACCAATTGTCAGGGTGGGTACGATATGTCATTGTCAAGGTGCGTTATGCCAGGGTGGGTGTGTTGTCATTGTAAGGGTGTGTGCATGGATACATTTCATTGTCAGGGTGGTTGCGTTACATTTCATTGTTAGATTGGGTGTGATATGTCAGGGTGGGTGCATTAGTATTATTATTATTGTCAGAGTTCGTTACAGGTGTGCATTGAGTGGTATCCATACAACTCATCCAAAGACAACTCATCATAATAAATGACAACTCATCCAAAGATAGAAGAAAACTCATCCCATGATAGAAGACCACTCATCCCAACAAATAATGTGATTGTATTAATATAATTGTTTAGGCCTACTATGAAGACCACTTGGGCCAACCTGATTTTCAAATAAAAAAGTGTTGCTTTAATAAAATAAATTGATTTTGCTGTCTTAATACATTGTTTATGTTTTAATAAAATTATGTTTGTTTTAATACATTGTTGTTTTAATAAATTGATAGTTGTGTTTGTTTTAATATTTTAATACAACTGTGGGGTTCTTACAGTGAAGGTACAATTAGTACAAGTCAGTTATTAAAATGATGTGGAGCCATCTACGTGCCAACAACTAACTAACGGAATGAACAAAATATGAAGATAAAACTAAAAAAATAAAATGAAAAAAAAAGTGAAGAAAAAAAATAAATAATAAGACATCTACCAGGTACCGGTATTAGAAAAAAAATATATATTATTATTTAATAAACCGTTGATATAATAAGGAATAATTCATATTATTAATTATTTATAAACAGTTGTCTTGGGATGAGTTGTCTTTAGGATGAGTTGTCTGGTATTCACACGACTATATTGGGATGAGTGGTCTTCTAGTTCTTGGGATGAATTGTCTTTTAATACTTTTATCATTGGGATGAGTTGTCTTTTTTGGTATTTACATGTGATCATTAATCTAAAAATGACAATAATAGATATTGGCGGACTAGTGCACCCGCGGACTAGTGAGCATTCGCCTGATCACCCCCCAGAATCGAAATCTACGCAAAAAACTGTTGTAGAAAAACTTGATCTTATAAATTCTCCTTTCGGTTCGGATGCCAGACCTGTCTAAGGGAGCCAACTACGATGTCGGAAACAAGGGAGGTAATTTTTAATCCACGCTAATCTACTTCCTGTTCTCGTTCAGAAAAAAGGTCACACACGGCCAGTATCAAAGGTGCAGATTTGAGGACAGTGACATCACAAAATCATCGTGTTTCATAACACTAAACAGGATTTAAATGTCGCCAAGATGAGCGTCGATGAAATTTTAAGAAATTTACCAATTCTAGTTATCCTCGCGGTTTCACATTTCGGTGGGGTAGGTGTGGCATTTTTCATTAGATTCTTTCTTCTACTTCTAGTTAGTTGATACATTATGAATCCAGCTTAGCAATATTATATGATTTATTTAACATATTATATTTTATATTTTTTGTGTAGTCTTAATTGGCGAAGGCTATGGCTATACCTCTGTAACCTGTTGCCTATCATGTAGTGTTGATCAGTTCTAGTTGTCGTAATTCGGTTAGTTCACCTGATTTTTTGTCATTTGTAGACCTGTCCTAGACTACTGTTTACTAAAAAGCGAAAAGTCTTAAAAAGTGACCCTGACAAAATTGGTTATTTCTCAAGGCAAAGGAAGATATTAGTATTTAGAAACTTTTTTTTGATATCTATATATAAGTATATATGATGATCGCATTGATTCATTTTTATATATTTGTCCACTGGAATCAAAATTCAAATATCTTAAATTTTATATGAATATTGAATAATGAATCTAAATGACTATATAACATGCATCATATTACATGTCATGTAGGCCTACTCCAAAACAAATTACTGACACAAAAATTGTTGCCATTGCTGCTCAAGTCTGATGACCCTTTAATATTGTGTAAAATGCCATTAAAATATATTCATAAATAAATCAGTTTTTTGTCAAAATTTGATGCCTGATATTTTTCGAAGATTCGTCAAAAATCAAAAGTATCATAGCTATTTGCCCTGTCTCTGGCTATGTCAAAATGCATTATTATATGTTAAAATCCAATAATTATTGTTACTACATGTATTACAGCAATATTTTTAAAAAAACGACAACTTCAGTGATTTGGGAAATTTCGCATTATCGCAGAACACTCGAAATAGCTGAATGTTATACCCTTTTTTTTAATTGATGGGATGAAACCACCCAAGTTTGGGATGAAACAGTCATGGGATGTCAGATATTCCAGTCACCAGTGTGATTCTGTTTAGTATAGATATCAAGTGACCTTTATTGTTTTATGTCAGTGACAAATACATGATTTTTATGTGATAATACATAAACAATAAAAAGGTCAATTTTAAGCGGTGATGATTAGGCCTAATTGAGTAATTTGTTGTGTTTTTTTGTCTTTGACAAATACAATATGATTTTTATGTGATAAAGCAAAAATAATAGAAAAAATAATTTTAAGGAGTGATGATGGGGGCAATTTTGATGAGGTTTGTTGTGTTTGACAAATACAATATGATGTGATAAAAAAAAATAAAATAAAGGGTAAATGTTAAGGGGTGAATGATAAGGCCTATTTTGATTGGGTTTTTTTGTTTGACTTGTGGTACGGTTATGTACATGTATGTGCGTCTACCTCACCTGCATTGTGTAAATCTTTTTCATTCAAATTTGAAATCTTTTGTTATTCTCTGTTTATATAATTATAATGAAAAAATACTGTATGGCTTATTTTTATTTCACAAAAAAGTTGTCTGTATTGATTAATTCCTTGGTTTTCTTCACTGTATGATTGATCAAGTAGAACATTGTCTTATTTGATAATTATTTCCATGTACAGTAAGAAGTAAAAGTTATTTTATGTACCTGTATTAATACATTGTCTTATTTAATAGTTATTTCAATGGACATTAAGCTTATCTAATCAGTTGAAGTTAAACTTTATTTCATAATAATAATAATAATCTTTATTTGCACTGAAGGCCTTAGGCCTATGGTACATTCAACACATACAAATGTAGCAAAATATAGACAAATTGCAAAACTTTATTTTATGTATTTGTATTAGGGATTTTATGTATTTGTATTAGGGATTTTATGTATTGAGAATTTACCTCTTATATCAAGTACATGTACATTACTGGTATTTAATATGATTACACAAATAGCAGATCAGATGTCTTCTAATTTAGAACTGAGGTCAGCTCTTGTGAGAAGGTGACCATTTATGACCAAGTAGAATTAGAACATGTATATCTAAATTGTGGTCCAAGCCATTCAAAGTCAACTCTGTAATTATATTAGAGAAACATTGTTTCATAAATTATTATCTATTGTCCAGTTAATCCAGTAGACATTAATGTATTAAGGATTATAAAGTTAGGGTTACTAAGAAACAAAGCTAAATGTATAAAAGTCCTGAAAATTGTATATTGAGAGTAAGGCGGTAGTTGACCACAGGCAGGCAAGAGGATAGACTGAAGGGCAGGTCTCTGATAAGTTATTTCTTAGATATTGTTCCTTATTAAGTTACCTAGCCTGTGGATCATTATTGTATATGTATATTATTAGAAGTACATGTACACAAGGAAGAAGGAGTTCGTTCAGTTATTCTATGTTCAATCTTAGACCCCAAACCAGATTGAACATACAACCAATCCCTCATCTACTGTTGGACTTCTAAGCTGGTCCATAAATCTCGGATGAAAACTGTATCAGGATTTCTTGTAAATGTTGGACACATTTTTCATCTTTCGGAAAAGGGGATGGGGGTTAGGGGTGGATGGTTTGCATGTGCGCGCTGTATCATGAGGTCTGTCATTGAGTCAACTGGTGTGGTTTCAATTCCCTGGTTGTATGTGATAAAGACCCGTACACGCCAACGAATTATTGAAATAAAATTGAACCATAAAGGTATGTACAGTGTATGTTAGTCCCAAATTAAACCTCTCTCTCTGTCTCTCATGATTCCTCAGATAGGTGTATGTGTGGGCTCGTACTAGTACCACTCAACCGTTTTATGACAGTGAATAAAACTAATAATCCATGGTGAATACCGAGTAGGCGCGGCATATTATCATCGCAGATTTAACTCTGTGGGCACAGATAAGTAAAAGGAAATTAGACAAGGGGAAGGGGTAGTCTTGTTGTGATGTGAAATCTGCGGTCAACGATATAATGTTTCAAAATTAAAATATACCTTTTTACTTGCAATAGTTGTTAATTTGTGAAGTGATTCTACTGGACTTTGTATTTAGTTGCTCAATATTTTCAGAAAAAAACTTGTGTCTACCATTAGTCGTATTATTGTTTAATACTAATACGTCATAAAACAGGCTGTAAAAGTGTAATGAACAACGGATAGCTTTAATTAGATTGACCAAAAATAGTTCTATTGATCAGGATTAATTATTGATTTACGGTGGCAAGCTCTATTTTTATTTCCTACATTATACAAGTGTTCTAATACATAGGCCTACATACATATATGAAAGAATAATGTCATAGACAGATGGCCCCACCCACCACACCACCATATATTTTTAAGAATGGTGCGTAAATGTAGATTGGCAAAAGTAATTATATGTTGGAAATGTGGGACATGTTATATTCACAGTGTAATGAGTATTTGTTTAAGGGACACTTCAAAATTTTGATTTGTCCCTGGCCTGTCTCTGAAGGAAGTCATATTAGCAATCAGGAAAAAGAATAAGATAGACCTAATTAAGACAATATTCACATATTTACTCACTGTTTTGATGGCAGGTTTTTTTGGGGAGAGGGGGTCATCATTTACGAAAGGTCAGAAATGTTAAGGGGGGGGGGGGATTGTTGTGTTGAAATAATTCTGAGAGTGACATTCTCCTCATGAAACCTGTTGTTCACATTTTAACTTTTTTTTTTTTTTTTTTTCCATAGTCATTACCCCCCACCAATATTCAAAATGTCATAGTGGAAAGAAATCAACATACATGTACTTGTACATGTTTTTTAAAAAAACAAATATTTTTGTCTTTTGTAGTGATAATTTCTGGGGGTTTTCATATGAATCTTTAACAAATTAATGTTAAAAATATTGCTGTCAGAATGTCATGTTTTTTTACTATTGTTACTTTTTTGATGTAAAATTTCTCTTGTTTGCGGGTTTCCCTCATTCTATTTTTAGTGAATGATCCAGCACTTCATGTTTATTAAATCATGTTTATACTACATGTACATGTACATTTATATTATCTTATTAGATTTATAAAGTAATATTTAAATTCAATTGTTATCTAATTCTCTTGTTACATTCAACAACAGATACAGCAATAGATTGAGAATATAACAAATTAACAATGGTATCCATGGATACATGTTAAAGATACATGCAGGACAGTGTACGTATGTATCTATGGATACAAATGTAAATGAGAGGGTATCCATGTAATAGTGAGTTGAAAGAGGAATTATAACTTTCAACAAGAAAATATTTTTAGTTATGATTCAATATTATTCATATTCAAAATAAACACAACCATGTAATTATTGAAAATCCAAGTATTGGCATTTAATGAAAGACAGTTTATAAGTAAGAACCTTCATTGAGCAAATTTTTTTTTTAAAGTAATATCCATATTAGAGGGATTTCAGTGTTCAAACATTTAATTTTTTTACGTTTATTTATACTCATTGAAATTTCTAGTATTTGTTTTAATACATATGTGTCAATGGCTGATAAAAAAAAATAAAAAAATAGGTCACTTTTATCTTAAAGGACAAATTGGGTCTAGGATAAATCCATTCTGCACACAGAGATCCATCAATTTCATACTTCAAGAATAGATCTCTGCCCTAAGTGGCCACCATATCCAGAAATTAATAGTATACTGTTTTGTAATGCGACTCTACTCCATTTCACATGTCATACACACAAAGACTAAATAAACTTCTTTCAGTTTTATTAAATGGGAGCAGAATAAATACTCAACAAAATTCTCGAAGTATACTTAATCGTCAATTTAGTACTTAAAATGTTGGTCAACTAGCTGAGTGTCTGTTCTCAGGTGGGAGCTAACTGTAGAAAGACAGCCTAAGTTTAGTATGGGATAAATCTTGATGAATTTGAACACAATAGAAAATAATACAATTATTCGATTATTAAAACAAGAAAAGAATAGAAAGTTTTCTACTTGGCCTAAACTCCATGAAATAAAATGGGTTTTAATAATATCATACTTTTCTGCATCAACTGGCCTTTGAGAGGAGTTTTGTCAAGACCGCATCGTTTGTGTGTACTCTTTGTCAAATTCCATCTGCCAAGGTTTCTTTTATGAGGACCTTGCAATTGGCTTTTCGCTAGATCCTATCCACACCACCAACAATTGGAAACCATACTGATAAATTAAAGGAACTTTCCCAATTTCTCACCCAAATTCCAATGCCAGGTGTGAAATATGGTGTATCTTTACCTCTTCTTCTGTGAACAGAAATAATGTATGTACTAAAATAATGAATAATCAGTGTTTTAATCTATTTTAAATTGTTTTTGGACCTAAAAGTACCTAAAAGTACCTAAAAAAACAGAACAAGTCGAACTCATGTTGACATGCATACATGTATGAAACCAGCCCTTTTAATTACTTCAGCATTGTCTTCTAGGATATGATTTTGTCATTACAAATGGCACTCAAACCATAACGTCTATAGATAAAATATCTGAGTTGTGTAGTGTTTTAAAAATGTTCATTGTGTCTTAAATATTGGATATTAGGATCCCATATTTTCGTGGTGAGATAACAACAGCAATATTGATTGAAATGGAACAATTCGTGTTTTTAATTTCCAATATTATGTATAATATTGAGTTAGAGGTTTAGCTCCTTTAAGCTCCATTCGTCTTCTAACCTATTTATAATTGTGTATTATGTATAAGTGTAATATTAATATGCTATTGTTGTATGATGATGTAGCAGTCATCTAATAGCTGCTCCAGGATGTATATTTCTGTAGATGAAATCTTATATGACATAAAGAATTTATTTTTAGTTCAGCCAAAACTTCCTCATTTGTAGGGAGCGTAGGCACAATGAATAAAGTTTTGTGTAAAATGCAACCTACTGGTAAACTCAAATCTGAAACTGAATTAGGTCCTACTCTGTCCAAATAATAAATTCCATTACATTTTATACAGGATTCATCTAACATACATGCACAAGATCGTTCACTGAGGATGGATTTTAAAAAAGATTTCTGTATACAATTAGGGAATAAAATCAAAACATTGAAACATATTTTAATTGTTTTTTTTGTATAAGCTTGTTTATAACACCAGTGCATGTGGTTGTCTGAACATAAAAATGGAAAAAATAGATCTGTTTTAACACTGCAGTTTGCCAGCTGTCTTTGAAAAAAAAAAGTTTTTGTACGCATACATGTACATTGAAATGTGGTCGTATACTGTCGTCGTCGTTAAAGGTCATGAGACGAAGAATCCTATTGATTTTCAACAGGTTGTGTCAAGTGGACATTAAACTCTCTCTCTCTCTCTCTCTCTCTCTCTCTCTCTCTCTATCTATAAATTAGCTATAAGTATCGCAGGAGTAGTATGTACATGTACAGGTCTTTTCTTAATCTTTCTGGTTCTATAATTAAACTAATTAGATGTTTTTATATTTGCAGGTTTTATCAGAATATTGTGGAACAACACAGTAAGTATTTACCGAATGGCATGCATGTAAAAGAACCCTTTACAGTTGGAATTTGATATAAGAGTAGGCCATAACACCACTGTCCGAGAAAACTTCCCCTGAAAGTACACTGCTAGGCATATGTCGGTCTTCATTAGCTCAGTCGGAGCAGAACAATAGGACGTTAAACCCCATTTCATTTCATACATGTATAATTGAGCTTTTACAATGTAGATGTATGTGGCCGAGGAAATAGCTCACTTACCATACTAAGTCTTTCAAATTTATTTGGAACGAAAACAGACTATTTGTCAAATGTACAGTTAGTAACAAGACTGTTATGGATTTTAAAAATTATTTTTCAAAGGTGTACATGTATATACAATAACAACCAGTCGTTGTTGTGTGGAGGCTTTGATTCTTTCACTACTTGTCACAATGGTCACCAGTTAATAGTAACATACCCATTTCTATTCTAGACAAGAGATAAGAGTATAAGTGGTGAAAGGGAGGCAATATGAAACTCTTTGTGTCATGGGTTTAGAGTTTTTCCACCCCTTCGCACATCAAAAAATTATGTAATTTTACTACAAAAACTTTCATGTTCAGATTCTCATCTTTATTGCTTCATAACAATATGGCTCTACCAGTGTCACTTTTTTGTACATTGTGAACGCAAAAATTATCATCTGATCTGTATGAAGTTTATATGCATCCTTTAAATTAGTGAAACGAAAAATACTATTTAATTTGAGCAATATCTGTTCATTATGTGTAGAGTTATGGGCCTTGTTTCACTTTGTCAAACCCTGTGAAGGCTCTAGCACAACAGTTATCATCCAATCTGCATGAAATTATTTATGCATTATTTAAATTAGTGAAACGAAGAATCCTATTGAATTTCAGCAATTTATGTTAAATACGTCTAGATGGCCCTTGTTTCACTTTGTTGAACCCTGTGAACGCTCTAACAACAAAAGATATCATCCGATCTGTATAAAATTAATATGCATTATTTGAATAATTTGAACGAAGAGGTCAATTGAATTTCAGCAATTTTTGTCAATTACTTCTGGTCTTATGGCCCTTCTTTCACTTTGTTAAACATTGTGAACGCTCTAATACAAAAGTCATCATCTGATCTGTATGAAATTTATATGCATTATTTAAATGAGAAAAAACGAAAAAGGCTGTTGAATTTTTGTATTTTCTATATTACTTCTAGAATTAAGACCTTTGTTTCCGTTTGTAGCACCTTGTGAACCCTCAAAGGACGCAAATTATAATCTGATCTGTATGAAATTGTCTTGTAAATGCACCCTATTACATGTACCTACAAAAGACGATCTAGCTGCTGTAGGCGTATGTTTCGTTTTTCTTGGCAACCTATCTTTCACTTTGATATCAATATTGCGTTTTTGTGCCCCCTCCGTTTCTTGTTCCTCAATCAAAATCAACATTGACAACTCCCTGAATTCAAGGCTATTGTGATTATAGAATGGGACCCTGACCCACAATATTTATGTTTATTTGTGAAGATCCAATTTCCTGTGACTAATATAATGAAAAGGTTAACCAGGTTTTAGATTAAAAACATCACTATAGCAACTATTAGATGTAGTAATACTATATATATTAATGTGTTTCATTAAAATGTCACTCTCGTCAAGGTGATAGAATTAATAAATCTGGTGGTTATTGGAGTCATTGATGATATGATTATATATATGCCAGATGCTAAAAATAGAATGACATCTGCTGGAATCAATAGTTATTGTAATTAATTAAGATGGTATTGGTGTTAATATAATATACCATTATATTATCTATTTAAAATAACTTATTTATTAGAACTAATAGTTTTCACTGGTATCTGTATCTACACATATACTTCATGAGTTAAATATACCTGGTGTTGTTGGATGGCCGAATAGTTAGCACGTGCACACTGTATCATAAGGTCTGTCATTGAGTCAACTGGCGTGGTTTCAATCCCCAGGTTGTATGTGACAAGGAGGTTGCCTGTCCAACCTCTTAAGTTTTCTCTGGGTCCTCCGGTGTCCTCCCTCTGCTAAAGACCCCTTTTGCGTAATGTTGAAATAAAGTTCAGCCATATGTTAGTCCCAAAATGACCTAGTTTGTGTCAGTGGACATTAAGCCCCATCTCTCTCTCAGGGTTATTTTGTCAATATAATATGGATATATGATATAAGAAAAAAAATAAATTACATTTATTTTCTTGCTGAAAGTAATTCCTCTTTTAAAACTCAGCTACATGTATTGGTTCCCTTAAAGTTTGATGATTTTAGATTTTAAGATGAAGCCAGTGTTAAGATAGGACTGATTGTTTGTGTTTAATTGTCAACACAGCATGACAAAATAAACTAAAATCAAATGTCTCCTTAATCTTGAAATAAAAACTCAACAAATTCCCCCATCACTAATCAAGAAAAACACATAACATTAACCCAATTCCCTACTCTAATTTTCCTAAATCCAAAATCAGATACATAAGTTAAGTGTTGTTCTGTGCAAGTAGAAAAACTCATTTTTGAAAAGTTGATAAATACTATACCATTTCTGAAAATACCCAAAATCATCTGTCACTATATGAACCCTGAGGCTTTAATATGAAACTGTCAGGATTCATTCTGAAATCCATGTAAGCCAAACTAATGACAAGGTCCTAGTCAACCACATATAAAGTTTAATAACTTTATTTTTGATAAGTTATTATACTGTAATGTTAGCTGTCAGGTCATCACTGGTCATGTGATAAACTTTGTTATATTTCAGATGTTATTATCCAGAGAAATGTTGTTCGAACGGAATGACGTGTTGCTATGACAGTGATGCCAGTGATCATTATATAACCTATAAACTACATGTATGGAACATGTGGTACTTCTGGTAAGAAATTGAATATAAAAATACAATATTAAAGCACTGATATGCCAGAATAAAGGTTATAGTGGTGATGATTCTAAGCATGCCAGACTAATTTGTCTTCATTTCTCAGTCTTTATTCATAGCAATTGTTGAACATGGATTCTAATTCTAATTTAAAGAGACCCTCCTGATTTTAACATTCTCAGAAATAAAAGTCTGTGTACATATGGAATTTTGTTTCAAAATTTTAGCTCAAAATATTGAGTCATTTGGATGTGAACGTAAAAAGCTTATCTGAACATGTAACCGTTTTAAGATTTCGGGTCAATTGTTTCATTGGGTGACCTGATAACCTATTTCCATTACTGTAGAGGTCTATAAAGTGCATGACCCACGTGCTGTATTGGATAACGAGAGGGCTTTTAACACAAACTTAAGCAGTTTTATTCTCTAAAATATAATTGAGATTGGCTCTTTAATGTCTGGTATTTGCAATATTCTCGAATGATGTTCCTAATACGCTAACAATAAAAATATTTTTACAGGTTTATAATAATATTTATCATGATGTCATGTTTTGGTGGGTGTGGTTATTATAGAAGAAAACGAATGGCAGCCATGTCACGATTACAGCAAAGACAACGACAGGGGGCGCTACAAACATCTATAGATTTAATGAGTAATAGAGCACGTTATCCTGGTCAACATCAGAGTTATTTAGCGTACACAGGGCCTGGCGTAGAATCGGATATGTCGTACTTACCACCCCCATATTCAGAGGTAATTTATAAAACATCATTTTTATACAACCACATTTTCATGTGGACGTATATTGTTGTCGCCCCTTTCCGTCCACCATTTGTGTGGACACTTGAAATATAGGATTATCTCTCAAAGATCTCAGTTCTGTTTGAAATTGGCATGTATCATTCCATCACTTCATGGAATATGGCCCCTGATTGTATGAAAAATCACATTTTTAGCTTGTGGTCCCTCTACAAGTCACAATTTTTATTCGATTTAAAAAAAATATTCGAATATATCACTGTTACACCATATTGATGGTTGAGTTTGAATTTTGTAAAAATCTGACTGAAACTGCCCAACAAAATGGTCAATAGTGTAAAAGTATGGTATACATGTATCAAGGGTGTGGACCCTCTAGAGGCTCACAATTTTGAATCAATTTTGATGAAACTTGAAATTTATATCTCGGTTCCTTTTGATAATCGTGCATAATGGAATGTAACTTCCTGGATTATGGCCCCTGATTGTTCGAAAAATCACAATTTGTTTAGCTCATTGTTGTATATCTCTTGTAAAATATGGACATTTCTTGCATGGAACAGATGTTCTGAAATTTTGAAAGTAAAAATATTTCATCATAGCCAACAAGGATCATATACTATTCAAAAAAAGTAGGGGATATTTGATTTTGGGGGCATAATACTAAAATATGCAAATGACTACGAAAAAAGTCACTATAGAACCTAACAGAAGAAACATTTCCAGTTACATGTGACGCCCAAACGCACCAATAGCTACCGCATGGAATGCAGGTGATGCTTGGGATCATCATGGGGGTCCAACCCAAGATTTGCACGACTCTGACTTTGAATGTTACAGTCATTGTGGCATTGAATTCCAGGGTGGAAACATCAGTTTAATTGTTTTAGTGACCAGAAAACAAATTTTGATATGCGTCGGCTTACCAAAAATGAAAGGTTACGTGCCCTTGGCATGCGTGTTACAGGCCAGTACTACCGGGACAACATCTTGGCAGTCCATGTTGTGCCGTTCGCACGACGTCATGGCCGCCGTTTCATCTTCCAGGATGACAACGCAAGATGTCACAGGGCCAGGATCGTTACAGGTTACCTCCAACAACAGAACATCACCACATTACCTTGGCCAGCACTGAGTCCCGACCTCTCCCCCATCGAGCATGTCTGGGACATGCTTGGACACAGGTTACGTCAACGTCAACAACGTCCTGCCAATGTCCAAGAACTTGCTGCTGCGTTGCAACAGGAATGGGACAATCTGGACCAAAATGACCTTAGACGTCTCATTAGGAGTATGCCACGTCGGATCAATGCTTGTTTGGCAAACAGAGGAGGATTTACCCGTTACTGACTTGGTTGTGATGCTGTGGTAACTTTGCTGTTTGACCCCGGGTATCATTTTACCCTTATAATGGTCAGTCTGTGCCTTACTTAGTCTAACGATCATTTGGAATAAATCGATGAATGTGAACTTCATTTCATTTTGTCATTTGTTTCTTCGTCAGTTTCATTAGGTGACTTTAATAACACTTAAAAATCAAATATCCCCTACTTTTTTTGAATAGTATATTTAGTCTACAGTATAAATGTCTAGTCAAGACTCAAGATTCCCGTTTTTCATAAATATTCCCAGATCCACAGTGGCTTTAAGAGTATGGCTCACTAATAAGAAGTTCTCAGGTTTTTCATCCCAGTGTTGGTAAAGAAAGTCCCTCAGGATTTTACAGTCAGGTTTCAGCTTGTCAGTGGAATAGGATGGAGAACCTGGCAAAGAAATGCATCTAGTCATTGAGATAGGACAAAAAAAACCCAAGACCATGTGTTTGCCATTAGCAGCATGTTAAAGAGCAACTGATAGTTGAAAATCAATATGAGGTGGTTGTAGCACTGCTGTCGGGACAGAAGTTTTCTTAATGTATGGTGTTTGTCTGTCTTCATTAACTCAGTTAAACATACATTATGCAAGAGCTAAATCTATCTATTTGTTAACATGAAACGACCTTAATCAACTCTCGATGTCAGATTTTAAATGGATTTGAATCCTATTTGCTGCTCAAAGCTCGTTGATGATTTAAGATCCAAAAATGGATAATCAAGACTATGTTTTTTATTGTACTGACTTTAGTAATGATGATCGAGGCTAGACCTAAAATTCAATCGCTAATATCTCGGGTCAGAGTGGAGCAATTTGACTGAAATTTTCAGCATATTCCCTTTAACATTATTTAGTTTTTAACTATTATAGTGAGAACTGCCAGCTCTTTATCTAATCTTCCCTAATGACCCTTTAAGTTTGTGTTATATTGATGATTTTGTGAGATATATTATATTGTTTTATATTATGTGTACTTTTAGGTTGTATCCCAACCAGATATGTATCCTCCAAATAAATCTGAACTCCCTCCATACCCCGGAGCTCCAGTAATATCAGCTGATAGCCAAGGTAAGATTGAAAACTAACTTTACTACTATTCCACGATAGTTCGAATGCAACTTTATAGCGCATTTATTGACCACACAAATTTTATTTATGTGATGTCTAAACTAAAATTTGATATAATTTAAATCATTTTGTTATGGTCCTTAAATTTCTAAATGCTCATATTAGGTAACCAATACAGCCATTCTTCTTTTTAAGTTCCGAAAAAAGCAAATAACACTCCCTCCCCCCCCCCCCCCCACCAAAAGAAAAAAACAACCTGTGCAGTTCATAACTTAGTAATTGTCTTGCAGCCATTCTGAAATAAGCAACAAAATACCCCCCAGAACATCCTGTGCAGTTATGTCATACATAACTCTTAATGGCTAATGGCATGTCCAATTGCATACCTTGGTTTTGTGTTACTTGTTAGGCCATCCATCCTACATCTTTGACAAGACGAAACGTCACTAAAAATTCCCTTGAAACTTTCACAGCCATCGATCCCAAGACCTCCAGATTAATGAGCCAGCACCTTACATACTGAGCCATGATTTTTTTCTATCCAAAGATATTGTCGATATGTTTGAACCATTGTTGATGTCAAACTCTTGATTAAAATTATTTCATCTTTGTTTTTCTTCATTCCCCTGCAGGAGGAAATACATCATTACCTTTAAATCCACATCATTTGAATTCCCAAATACCACAACCTCCTCCTTATAGTGATGTCATAGCAGGAAATACATCAGAAAATACAACAAATAATAGTCCAGCAGAAAATGCTCTGCAATCAGCAGAAGCAACCAATCAAACATCAGCATCATCTAACACAACCAATCAGAGGCCGGCATCTTCAACAGATGCAACACCAGTAGTAATAGATGAAACTAATCAGTTGCCACCTGTGTGATGTAAGAAACGGCGTACTGAAGTGGTCTTATGAAAACCAAATTAGGAAAAAAAAACAAGATAAAATTTTGAAATTATATACTACAACAGAACTACAAGACTTTGTCAGTCCTGTAAACTCCATAAATTAGAAGTGGTATCCAGTGTTCTATAAAGAGTAAACATACCATACCGTACATGGTCACTACAATAACAGGAAATCCAGAATATTTTTTAACATTATACAATTTTTTTCAACTGTCTTTATCTATAGCCATCACAGGTTTTCTTTGGATGGTGTTTATCCAAGGTTCGCACACTCCTTGAAAATTCTGGAAAAATGATAATATTATTTCCAGTACTGGAAAATCCTGGGAAAACAAGATTACTCTTTGAAGATATATTTGGAGATATAAAACTGAACGTTGTCATCGAATGTTTCTTCAAAATTTCACAAGTTCGTCGCTGTAAATGGACTTTAATCAGTCGAACAATGTTCTTCAAGCGTAAACAATACATTATGATGTAGAATTTTGGAAAACTCCAGGAATTTTAACTGTTATAAGTTGTGCACACCCTGTTATCACATCTTGAAAAAAAATTTCCACATAATTATTTTATTGTGCTTTCTAGAACACCAGATACCATTTATCAAATATTTCAAAAAATATACATCAGAATTATCTTGTTGATTGAATCTTAATCTCTTGATGACTTAATCCCCCTTTATATATTACATATAGATGTTTTTTATTCACTCTGGTTTTCAACAATTTTTGTATAATTTGTGTTTGTGTATATTAAATTGTACTATTCGTAATACATGTGGTACATGTATTTAAAGTTCCAAGGTGAAGGAATTTAGTAAGGGAGAGAAATCTTGACTTTATGACTTGCGCTTATTTCTGTGATGATGAGTTATAAAGCATGGACAATGGTGACTATTTCTACGTCAACTATTAAAAAGTAAATTCAAAAGTTTTCCATACGAACATTTAATACAATTAAAACATTCAGAATCGGAAGCCTATTCTAGAAATATAACTGTATTTATTTCTTGAATCAAGAAATAAATGAATAGAATTAAGTCATAAAACAATAAAATACTGTTATTTTTACAGAAATTTCGACTATATGTGGGTTTTCCGGCATCCAAGTTGACTGACAGGTAGATTTTTCAACTGACACTTAACTTCCAAAACTAAGAGTTCCACTTTACCTCAGTATTTAAAGAAGTTACTAATTATATAGAACAGTTGTAGTCCACCATCTTGTGACATATTGATGTTACATTAAAAGTTGTACTCTATGGTCAGATTTAAGTTGATTTTTGCATTAATTTTAATGCTGACTATTTTTTAAATATCTTTTTGTTATTTTGCAAATGAATACTACCAGTCATCTACTTCTTTCTATTTTAGCGTAAAAAAATAAATAGAAATGTATATTGGAAAATCTTTTGATTATTCTACCAAATCAGTATAACTTTCCTGGAAAACAATGACGTCACACGGTACTTGGAACTTCCCTAGTAAACAGTTGCATCACTGTACTTGACATCCTATATTTAGTAACTCATTTATTGCTAAT